GGATTTCCGCACATAAGGGTTTTGCAAACGGCTTTGAGGACCACATGAAATTCGAAATATACTTTTTTTTATTATTGATTAAACTGATAGGTTGGGTTATTAGGTCCAGTTAGGTTCGCCGCAACAAATGCGCAGGCTTCACAAAAATACCTAGCTGTTTGTAGATGCTAATGATGTGATTAGTGTACACACTTAACAACAAAATGATTAGTACGGGCCCACACAAAAAACTGTTGATTTTTAGTGCAAAATACAAATATTCTCACATGCTCAGCTTTATGGTGACAAGAGCAATGTGATCCATGCCGTCAAATCTTAAAACACATACATATGTACCATAAAAACAGGCAATTTGTTAATTAAGCTGTTATAATAATAAATATGATAAATAATGATGTCTAATTTGTTAGAGGCTGCCGATCGCGATACCCTTGGATTCTGACGGCCTACAAACAACTTATGATGTAAAAATCTACCCACAGAGAATTCAAAATTTCTACGCCACTGAATTTTCCAAATACTTTTACTAAAACTTGTACACCTGGCGTCAAAATAAATTAAACATTTTCGGACTTATCTTTATAGAAACTTTTTTCTTAGTTTAATGAGCAATTTTTTAAACGCCCTGTATAACAGTTTATTTACAATTTTACTTATAAAAACATCTTTTTAATTTATTTTTTAGTCTTGCTGCTGTGTTGTACAATATGATAACAATTTTAGAAGAAAAATTTATAACGAGGAAAATTTTGTGAAGGGTAAACTGAAATAGAGAGTGCATAAAATTATTTATTAAATATAATACATTATGGGTTCGAGAATGTACAATAAAGATAATACCATATTTTTATTAATGAACACCTCACCCTCACAGTCAAGTGAACTAATCATTACTAAAAATAACTAAGTTAGGCAAATATCACATAGTTTTAATCTCCTTGTTAGTAACATATACAGGGTTACCATACCTCCTACTACCCAATAAATTAAAATTTCAATGTGTTAGCTCTAATGTAGAAGTTAAAAAAAATGGTAAGAAAATCATCAAAACATGATTTCAGTTAGTTCGATTGACTATAACATAATAGACTCAATATGATACTCACTCACTGGATATTAAGGAGGGAAACCACATTAAGAGCTTAAAAAGAAATCGGATTATTTTTTATTGCATAAATAGTTAGTTCAAGAATATGCTGTTAAAATTTCAAAACGGAATTCCTATTGTTCCGATTTTATGAGTCTAAAACCGAATGCCCATAGGGTCAGCGCTTGGGTGCACAGCAGGTGGGGCAGAGAGCGCTTGTTAAGGTAATCTACTCACTTATTAAGCACAAAACAAATAGATAGATGATAACTTTTTCAAATTTCTCTGAAATTTTTAAACGTGTTTTTCTCGAAATAAAATTTTTTTATTCACGTTTAGATTCACTCTAGCTCAAGATGTTTTGAACCGATCGTTATGAAAACTGAAAGTGTGTTTCTTTATGAAATTACAAAGAACATCCAACAATTGGGATGGTATCATACTTTTACTCAAAATAAGTGAAAAAAATTGGTGAAAATCGATATATTTTTTTCAAACACAATTGACTTGAAAAAATTTGTAAATGTACTTCAAAATATTAGTAACATAATGACAAAGTTTGAGCAAATTCTAATCAATTTGTCCCATTCAAAAAAATTCATCATAAACACCTGAAAATCAGCCTCCTAATGTGCTTTCCCCCCCCTTAAGATTCCCAATTTATACTAAAACTAGAGACCACAAGTATATCTTCTTTTGTTTTGTTCTCTGCATAAGTTTTTAATTTAACTTAATTTGTTTGCTGTTTATTTTTGGGAACAGTTATTAGTTACTTTTTTATTGTAGAAAACGGTAAAGGTTTTCTAGACATTCAGATTTTAATTTTAAAAAATTCCCAGAGAATAAATAAATCTAACAGAACATGTTCATTTTAGTTATTTCCTCATAGGAACGAAAGAGGTAACGAAAATTAATTAAAAAAATTTCTGAACTACCTGTTAACTATTTAAAACAAGTAGGCACAGTATCTCTATTGACAAGAATTTATTTAACATCATTTGTTGTTGTTTTATTTTTGGAATAAGTGAATTTCGTTCCTATTTTCGTTCTTATACTCCTTCCTATTTTGATTCTTCGAAATGACATTACTAGTAACATTTATTTTTATTTTGAAGACTTTTATTCTTAGTTCTGTTACATTCCAGGGAAAAAAGCAGAGAGCACGTTCATTTCCGTTGTTTTTAATGATTTACACATAAGAACAGTAGTAAAAAACCACAACCTATCTACATGTTTCCACTGAATATCTACATACAGGGTGTCCCGAAATTAGTGCAACAAAATTTGGTTACAGATTCTGAAGACAAATTTAGGATATCCGTATTTTCTATTTTTGCCAAGTGACCCCCCTCTTTCGGAGTTACAGCCCCCTGAAATCCGCCCCTAAGAATAATCTTTTTTTTATATCTCAGAACCCTGTTGTACGAGAATCACTAAATTTGGTGCACATGGGTTTTATGACATGTGGAATCTAATGGTCCTACGCTCTTTGGCGGGGAATCCCCTTAAGACAATTTTTCGTGGGCCCCCTTGTCTTTGGAGCCAAAAAAAATTGGTCGCATATTTAAATTTGTTAAAAATTATTTGTCCGTTAGAAAGCCATTAAATTTAGAAATTTTTTTGTTCCTTAATACGTTTTCGTAAAACGCAATGTTTTCAAGAAAAATGTCAAAATGTGATCGAATGCATATCGTGATTAGCAATTTTCCTCAAAAAAATTGCATTTTATGAAAAAAATCAAGAGATAAAAAAGTTTATAAATCCAATGGCTTTCTAGCTAACAAATAATTATTAAGAAATTCAAATTTGCGACTACATTTTTTTGGTTCCAAAAACAAGGCCCATGAAAAAGTATCTTCAGGGGGTTCCCCACTAAAAAGCGTAGCACTATCAAATTGCACATGTCATAAATCTGCTGTGTACCAACTTTAGTGATTCTCGCACAACAGCGTTCTGAGATATAAAAAAGACTATTCTTAGGGGTAGACTTCAGGTCTACTGTCTGTAACTCTGAAAAAGAGGGCCACTTGACAAAAAGAAAAAATACGGGTCTCCTAAATTTGTCTAAGAATTTTGTTGCATTAATTTCGGGACACCCTATATAGGAATTCAGTAACTAGTGACTTTTGTTCCTATTTTCATTCTTCAAGAAAACATTAATGAAATCTACGTTTATTTTTTATTGTAAAAGAAATTTTATATCGCTTTCTAAAGGTGTGTTTCTGGACACTTACTGTTAATTGTTTTGTTCATTTCAAAAGATAGAATTACTAATTATTACTTTCACTTAATCCCTATTTTCGTTCCCTGAAATAACACTGCAAGTATTTTTATTTCTGTGCAGACGAAACTTTATACTGCTTTTACAAAACGCATTTCAAAGAATTTAATTGTGTTGTTCTTTCTAAAAAATACAGTCACTTTACTTGTGATAGAAGCATATGTTCCTATTTTCATTTTTAAAACAATGCACAGTAATTCCAAACCTCGAAAATATGGCCAAAAGTCCAAAAGTATAAACAAAATTATTTCTAGAGATTTTTATGTTCACAGTTGTTTACCCTTATTATCGTAGAGTTACGCAAGTATAAAGAACACATCTTCTGTATTCATCTTCATGGCCCACTTTGAAAGTGAGCTACATGCGACAGAGTTGTAAGCCAAATAACACATTTTTAATTTTGTTATAAAAAGTTTTGTATGTTATAGGCTATATCCTTTCGAAGTCGATTCTTCTTGTGATGGTATGTATATACGTAAAACGTAAGATTTATAATATTAAATACTGAATATTTGTTAATAATTAAATTGAAAAAATGAAATGAGAATTAATTAAAATTCTGGAAAACCATATGCAAAAAGTATTCACGGTGATTCAAAATTCAGTACAAAGAATTTAGGGGCATATTTTTGAGATCAAAATAAGACTTTTTCCCTATAAATGTGGCTCCACAAATGCTTAGTTTTCGATATACAGGGTGTTAAAGTTTTTTATTTTGTTTGATTTTTTAGGAATAATTTCCAAACAGATTTGAATGTTGGCATAAAACTAGGTGTACGGGGGTTTTTTAGGATGCTAAATTTAAATGTCATTGCTAATGATGTTGTTTGTACAGGGCGCCACCTATAAGGGTACGCTTGAATTAAATTGGACCTAATTTTATTCCCTTATCAATTTTAAGCGAAAAAGATATACTTGGTCGAAATCTCTCAGACCAAAGGTTTCCGAGATGTTGGCTGATGAAGAGTTTAAATACACACCATATTTTAAAATTTTATTGACTATTTGCAGCGAAAAATTTTAAAATGTATTTTCACCATCTAATCAGTAATGCAATGATCTTGAATTTTAGCTCTACATTTTTACAACTAACCGTTTTCCGAAAAATCACTGTTGACTAGTGACAATACTACCGTTTAGTCAGAAGTGATTTTCTCGAAAACGGTTAGTTGTAAAAATGTAGAGCTAAAATTCAAGATCATTGCATTACTGATTAGATGGTGAAAATACATTTTAAAATTTTTCACCAAAACTAGTTAATAAAATTTGAAAATATGGTGTGCATTTAACTCTTCATCAGCCAATACCTCGGAAACGGTTGGTCCGAGGGATTTCGACCAATCATACCTTTTTTGCTTAAAATTGATAGGGGAATGAACGCAATAATACGAAACGTCAATGTACAGGGTAGTAAAAAAGTTAGTTCATAATACAGAAAAAAAGTTTAAAAGACAAAATTAATTTGAATCATACAGGGCGATTAGTAAAAACAGGACACGCCAAATATTACATTTTTTAAATGTAACACCCTGTATATTAGTTTTATACATATTATGCATGAAGAAAAGTATATACATACATATATTTAGGGTATGTTTTTGTTTATTGAGATTATTCATTATCCTATGAAAAATGTAATTTAAATAATTAATTTAATAAATAAACAGAATAAACAAAATGAAAAAAATTTGAATGACCGATGTAACTTGTGACGTGTACTTTTTTCATACAATTATTGTTAAAAACCTCTTAAATTGAAAGTTGGAAAGAAATTCGCATTTTGTTTCATATTTGTTGAAAAGTTTTCCCGCCATATTGGATCCGCCATTTTCTTTTTCCAAAAAATAATGTTAGGTTCGAATTCAGTGACCTTAACTACAAATGTGTATGAAAAATAAATTGTGTTTTGTACTTTTGGCCATGTTTTCGGCATTTGGAACCATTTTTTAACATAAAAAGAAACTTTGGCTTTAAGTAGGCTTGCTTTATGCCATTTAGTTCTTAATTTATTTACATTCCAAGGGATAGGAACGAAAAAACAGTTCATCTCCATTCTTTCTAACTGTTTAAACAAAATCGACCCCAAAGAAAAATTAATTACATAAATAATTAGATTACTGCATGACAACGAGTGCTTCAAGTAACAACCGTGAGAGTGAGACATCAGCGATTAATAAATAAATGAATTTATAAAATATACAACTGTTGATCCTTGGAATATATTAGTACATTATATTCCTTAATAATTTCAGTGTCGTCATATAGTGATTATGCCATAGCCGATACCGGTAAAGAGCTGTGTTTCGGTTTCATTTTATTAATAAAGACCTTGATGCAACCGTTGAAATCAGCAGATATCAAAACATAACCACCGCAACCTTTGGTATGCTGTTCTACTACGGGGTCCTCAACCTGAAAGAGATATTTACCATATTCATCGACGTTCATTCGCCAGTTGCTTTCGTACAAGGTATATTCACAAAGTAAGTGTACTGAGGCTCTGATGCCTGGTGGTTTTTGTTTTCGACAAAATTGGCAACACTGCATTCAAGGCCAAGGTGTTGGGAACAAAACGCCCGTTCATTTGTCTCAATCAGTTGAGAACTGTTGTTGTAGTGGTGTGTTGAAATGAGTGCCGCTATTCCGAATCCCGCCAGCTGCATGGTGAGGAGCATAATCAGGTTTCTGCTTGCAACGGGAACGGTGCCATTCCAAATTTTTAACAAAATCAAAACTGTTTAAGAGAATAGTGTGATGAATCTGACAAATGTGTATAAGTGGTGTCGTGAGAGTAAAGCTAGCAGAAAGATTGTTCATGATGAACAAAGAAGTGGGCTTGCCTTAATGGTGACTGATGAGATGGTGAACAAGATTCAAGGAATGGTTCTTGGCGACCATCGATTGATTTTGAAGGAGACGAACGCAGTGGTTCCACAAATTTCCAGATCTCTTCTACATGAAATCATGACTGAAACACTTGGTTATCGAAAACTGTATGTAAGGTGGGTACCAAGACAGCTCACGGATCAATACAAAGCCAATAGAATGACATCTTCACGAGAATTTCTCGAGTGGTTCGAACTGGCAGCTGAACAATTCCTTGACTGTATTATGACTGGTGACGAAACATGAGTGGCCCACTACACTCTTGAGACAAAAATAAAATCAATGCAGCGGCGACATCCGTGTTTACTATCAGCGAAAAAATTCAAAACCCTTGTTTCTGCCCGGAAAATCATGGCAACTGTGAATTGAGACCACAAAGGGATTCCCCTCATTGACTTTCTGCCTTAGGGGGAAACAATAAATGCTGTGTTGTGCTATGAAACCCTGAAAATATTATGGAGGGTGATACAGAACAAAAAAAAAGGAATGTTAAGGGAGCCACCACATGACCAACACCACAAAGTAACTCTGGATTCATTCGGTTGGAACATCAACCATCCCGCTCACAAACCTGACCTGGCACCTTCTGATTTTCATCTTTTCTCTTCAATAAGGGTGTTTATGGGTGGAAAAAGATTTTCTACCAATGATGAGGTCCACAGTGCCGTGAAACAATGGTCCCGAGAGACAGCGGGAGATGTTTTGACGAAGTTATCCGGAAACTCAGACCTCCGTTCACAAAATACATTGAGGTTGAAGGCGACTACGTTGAAAATAAGGTTTGATGTACCTTTCTCAATATGTAAATTTTTCATAAATATACTGCCGTTTCGATTTAAAAAAATGGAGTACCCTCAAGGGCGTCGCCAGCCAATGGGCTGGGGGGGTGGGGGCAAGATAAGAGAGAGGATGGGAGAAATATAAATTATAAGTAGAAGTACAGTGAATTAATTTTTTTTAGAAATATTTTTAATAAAACCATAATATAAAAAAAACAAAAAAAAACTATAACTAAAAAAATTAAGAAATTCAACAAAAATTAGGTAAAACATAATCTACTTGGATTTTTTGAAGATGTGTCGACCACTTTATTAATAAAATCATTATGGTTGTCAAAAATTAGCTTTCTGTGTATACTCATCATTGCTAGGCCATTGAGATGATTTTGTACCATATAGTATTTCTGAACCAGGTTTTCATTCTTATTTTTTTTTAATTTAAAATTCCAGAGCCAAATTTTTAAAATATGGAAATGTATTACTTTTTAACATAAAATTTTTATATTTTTAAATTCTTTTATCAACAAATATACCAATTTACTATTAAATTGTTTGTTATAAAAATAAAGTAGTGTATTAATTTTCAAAATTAAAATTTAAGTAAATAAAATATTTTATTAAAAATTTCCAATATAAATTTTTTTTAGCTTAAGAAAATTTTGGTATTTTTTCGAATCTCTAGGGGGAGGACAGCTGCCCCCCTGCCCCCCCTTGGCGACGCCCTTGAGTACCCTTACTTTGTGGATATGCATTGTATCATATTTTTAAAATTTTTTAAAGAATCAAATACTTAAAGGCAAAAATGTAGGAGTAACTTAAAAAACGCAAAATAATGACTCACCTTATTCGTATTTTCCTCGGTTTGTTTGACACTTTCCTCTAACATTTTGATTATGGCCACTGGATTTGGGGAAAAAATGGCGCAAGTCACGACTGCATTGTGAGCTTTGATCGCCTCCCAAAAGTCATTCCTGTCTCTCCTAACCGAAGAAAACTTCGAATAGTCGTGGTTCGTCTTCCAAATGTATATATCCCTATTCTCTGACCCGCTGACAATATACTTGCCGTCGTGGCTGAAGCTGGCCTTGATCTGACTGCTCATATTGACGTAGCCTTTGTATTTGCAGGAGACGTTCAGGTCCCGCAAGTCATATAGCCTGATACGGCTGTCATTCGAAGTGACCAGGATTTTATCTTCGCCAGGCATCGGTTCGATCCCGCTTATTTTGCGACCGGTGGAGTTTCTTCCCCTAGACGAACGTACGTTGATCTGGGTGTGATATTTGAGCTGATCGGTGTTGTAGAATATGCACCGACCATCGTACGTGCCAACCACGGCAAATTTTCCATTTTGGCAGAAGTTGGCAGCCGTTATTAACTTCGGGTTGCCCCCGACTTCGTTCCACACAGCAACCTGATTGGAAAAACGTTTAATTAACGTACATACAAGGGTCCATGGTAATAAGTAACAAAATACCACAAAAGACACACAAAAGCTTTATAGTCACAAGTCACAGAAAAAAAGTAGTGTTTTAAGTGAGTTTGGTTTCTTTAACATAAACTCATCAAACTGATCACTATTTTAAGAAAAATTTAGAACAATATGCTTGTTTATCTGACTGTTGATATGTGAACACATTATAGTTGCCTCAAAAACGAAAAACCAAATATGAATGAAGAGTCAAATTCGCTTTGAATGAGATCACGACTCAAGTTTATCCATATCAGTTACTCAAAAAATAAGCCTAAAGTTTTTCTGTTTGACGTGGCAACAGTGTGTATGTGGTTATTATTAGTTGCATTAGTTGTAAATATTGAAAAACAAATGAAACATTCATAAAAACATTAAATAAAAGTAAAAAACATTATGTAACTTTTTAAGTAATATTGTGGGAAACAACGGTTCTGCATTCCAAAGCTCCATCTAATATTGCGTTACACCTGCAATATCTAGTAAATAACTTAAGATTATTAGCCCTTCCATGCTCAATGTGTATTGTAAGTTTTATGTCGATTGTTATTGCAGATTTTGAGAAATATGTTTTTAAAATTGTACACTACTATCGCTATCGAAAATGAGTGACACGACAAGGGAACAACGAATTAATATTAAAGGGGGAGGGTCAATTAGGCCGGTTTTCGGCCCCGTTCATTTTTGGCCAAATAAGAAAACTACATTTTTTCATTATTTAATCCAATAACTAATAGATTCCACCCCAAATGGGACCTCCCCCCTCCTTCTTAATCAGGATCAAGGTCAATTAGAGATCAGATTGAGAAAAAGTGTATTAAATCTAAGGATTTCGGACTTTAGGTTTTTTGAGTCCAAATCAGAGGTTAGTTTGTCTGTATCAGACCATTTTAAGGTTGTTTCAAGGTCTTTTCAAGGTCAAATTGAGAAAAAGCCGAGCAATTAATTCCAACCACCTGTTATTCAGGATTTTAGAGTCGCTGTTATCAGGTCATTTAAAGATCGTCTCAACATCACTCCAAGATCAAATTGAAAAAACTGAGCAATTAAGTCTAATCGCCTGTTAGATAGGTTTTTGGGATAGCTGAGTTTGAATTCGAGATCAGTTTGTCTGCATCAGGTCATTTGAAGGTTATTTCAAGGTCGTTTAAAGGTCAAACCAAGAACAAACGAAAAATCGATTACCGTTTTTGAAGTCTGTGAGTTTGAATCCAAGGCCCGTTTACGTGTATCAAATCAGGTTTAAGGTCATTCCAAGATTGATTTGAGAAAAGCGTTTGTTGACGTTTTCAGGAAGGATTCGTGAGAGGCGATTTTGGACAGCCCTGTATTTCACCGAATCTTGTTGGAAATTTCAATATACATGCATACCCGTCTTATTCCACTCCAATCTTACCCAATAAACATCTATATTCCTACATATAAATCCTTATTACCTCATACTAGCGCATATTGCCCCATTCAATCCAGCTTCGGTCGAAAACAGAGGGGTCTGAAATCGTCTCTCACTGACCCTACCAGAAGTCCTTTTTCTCAAATCAACCTTGGAACAACCTTGAACCTTTATTAATACATCATGTAAATGGATCTCAGATTTGGACTCAGCAACTATAAGAATGGTAATTGATTCCAGGGTTTATTCCATCAAATAACTTTCAAATGACCTTAAAATGGCCTTCAAATGACTTGACACAAACAAACTGACCTCAGATTTGAACTTAGCAATTCCGTGTATAACAGGCGATTAAACTTAATTGCTTGGCTTTTCTCAACTTGACCATTAAATGACCTTGTGACGACCCTTCAAATAACCTGATACAGACAAACTGACTTCGGATTCGAACTCAGCGACCTTAAAATCCTGTATAACATGTGGTCGGACTTGATTGCTCAGCTTTTTCTCAATTTGACCCTGAAATGATCTTTAAACAACCTTAAAATGGCCAGATACAGACAAACTATTCGGACTCGGCGATCCAAAAAACCCAAACTCCGAGTCCTTAGATTTAATGCACTTTTTCTCAATCTGACCTCTAATTGACCTTGACACTGACTAGGAAGAAGGGGGCAGGTCCCGTTTGAAATGGATTCTTTTTTCGGTCGAAAACCGGTGCAGTGCAGCAATGCGGAATTTGGTGTAATTTAGGTAATTTTAATTTATTATAGGCACCTTCTATTAATCATTGATATTACAATTGCGAAAGAGAGAAATAAGAGGGATATTTTGTTTACTAATATTATTACAACATGGCATTTTGGAGACCGTTTGAAAAGGAAATATGTCTCGATATTCACATGTTTCGGTAAACATAATATGAACAAAATGTTAATTATTCACATTTTTCTTTTTTTTTTAACTTACGTTATCACATTTTAAACATACAGCACACATATTTCGGACATCACATATTAATAGACTCACCTTCTTGTCTGGAATATTCCACAGCCTCAATTTTCCATCCAGCGACCCGCTCAAGAAATATCTGTCATCTCGGGGATGGAAAACGATCGCCGTCACGAAATCGATGTGCTGGAAACAGCACAGGCACTCTTTCCTGGAAATATGCCACAGTCGCACCGTTTTATCCATGCTCGACGACAGGATGAAGTAGTTTTTCGACCAGGAGACATCGAGTAGATCTGAGGTGTGGCCGGTATATGTACAGAACGGCTTTGGCATAAAAGTGAGCTTACTGGCTTCTTCGGAGGTCATTCCTTCGTAAGCAGCGAGATTCGAGGTTTCCGCACAGGCAGAGTGATGCGACACTAGTGATTCTTGGGAGGGGGTAGGCGATACCTTCTCCGCATTGTATTTCGTCCTCATATCCTAAAATATTGTAGTTGGTAGAAAATTCGCTGTAACGATTTTTTTTGTAATTACTCACCTGGAAAAAAGGGAAAGCATCCCTTACGATCCATATCCTCAAGATTTTGTCTTGTCCAGCGGTGGCCAGCAATCTCCCGCAGCAAGAGAACTTCATGCACCAGATGGGTCCCTCGTGTTGGTCGTCTTTTAGTTCTTGCACGTGTTCGACTTTCTCAAATTCAAATGGACCCTTGTGCGAATTGGAGGCCTATAAAACAATAATACGCAATCCTACAAGAACTTAATAAAATTGAATACTTTCAACTGAGGACTGAGAACAGCTATTCTGTTCCCGTTCATTAGTATGAACGAATAAATCATAAAAAAACATTCTAATTAAAAATAAGAAACATCTATGGGGAACGAGGTTTAGAATGAAACGTTCTCAGTAGAAAATGCAAATATTCTTGTCGAGAGAGATGTTGAGAAAAATAGAGCATGTTCTTTAACTAAGCACAAAACTAATGTGAACTACCAGTGTGAAGAAAATACAGAGTTAGCTGCTGTAGATAAATCAGATTTATATAAAAAAATAAGTGACTGTATACAGGAAAATCCCTTGCCTGTTACAGAAAAAACATGGCTGTTTACAACAAATATCAGTTCATTTATTGTATCAGAGGAAAAAGTATCACAATATTTAAAACTTATGAATAATGAAAACGAATTTAAGAACAAAAACGATCTTGAGAACGAAAGCTAGCTCAAAAACGGAAACGAGTTAGATAACGAAAATGAGCTCAAGAACAAAAAAGAGCTTAAGAATGAAAATTAGTTCAATAACGAAAAGATGCTAAGAATCAAAATGAGTTCAATAACAAAAAGGACCTTGAGAATCAAAACGAGCTCAATAACGAAAAAGAAGAGCTTGAGAACGAAAATTATTGAGAATGAAAAACAGCCCAAGAATGATAACAAGCTGGAAAATGGTAACTAGAATTCAATTTCGCATTCCTGGAAGTGTATTTAAGATATATCTTGAGAAAAAAATACATATAATTAATTATGTTCATTTAAACTATTTTTGTCTACATTATCAGCAATATAGGTGGATTTATCCATACATTGATGCTCTGATAAAACTTTTTTACTGTTTTTTTTTTAATTCAAATCTGATTTATCGACAATAACAAAACCTGTATTTGTTTTTCTTGGAGGACTCTATAAAAATGAATTCATTTCTGATTAAAAAACATTACTATGTTCTTCTTTTGGTTCTCAAAAAGAACACTAGGAAAACACCATGTTCTCCCGATGAGAACAATTCGCTCTTAGCCTCGTTCCTGACAATGTAGGTTCTTAATACATTTGTTCGTTTGCCAGTATTCTTAGGAATTAATGTAAAAAGAAGTAAAGTTGTCCGTGCTTGATGCCAACATTCGTAAGAAAAAAATAAAAAAATGTAAGAGGTACCTTCAATTTACAGTTCTGCTCTCCCGGATGCACGTTATCAACAATATCTATAGTATCCTCCTTATGCCTGGCATGAGATACTTCCTGAGCAATAGACTTCGCCTTGTGCATTGTCTTCTTTACGGTGGACCCCAAGAAACGTTTCAGCTTCGCAGTTTTCTGCCTGATCCGACCGACTTCCACATCATTTTCATCAACAATCGGAATATCCGACTTCTTAGTGTCCACGCTCTCCTCGTCAGATTCCTTCTCTTTCTCCATACTGGAGCTGCTGACGTATTCGGACGTAAGTCTCATAATGTGCAAGGAGAGCGGATTGATACATTGCGGGAGTTTGTCTTCTGCGACGCTCAAAGGAACCCTTTCGCCAGTGTCCAGGTTAAGTACGGTGACTTGCTCGAGGATTTCCAGGTCGGAAAGTTGCTTTCCAGAGTCGGTGTGCGTGCGGACGTAAAGGTTGATGTCTTTGAAGAAGTTCTCATCGCCTGCGGACCTCCTCCGTTCTTTGGAAGAGTGTTTGCTGTCATTCTGATGGGTTCCCCTATTTGAAAAAAATTGCTGTACCGAATACAAGTTATGGCAAAATATTAAATAAATATTATTTTAAGGACATATAAATGCAAATATGTATAGAAACTGTCACAAAAAAAATGTGACACATTAAAAACTTTAGTCAATGGCAAAATATTCAGTTTAAGGTTACTAATACATGTAACAAAATGAAAGCGTGATGACGTATTCGGTCATTCCTGTTTTGCCGAATTAACATGGCAGTATGTTTGTGGCAAAGCTCTGTTGCCCTTCGGAACCGTTAGGAACATGATGGAATTCTGCTTAAATTTAAGTTGTTCACAGTTGAATTTTGTTGCTGTTCCATTTATTTTGGATTAATTTAACATATCTAGCACTGGTTCGCTGCTGAAGTGGCTGAATAAGAAAAAAGGGTGGAAATATCATATTTCTGTACATACTTGTTTTAAATTTATATTATCACCTAACAGTACCATCTCATATTTTTTTTCAAATTGTTACCTGTGCGGCCCAAGACTGTAATGTCCAACGCTGCTTCGACTCGTCGATCCCCTCGGACTATTATTCGTGCTGATATCATTTGCCGGAATCACCAAATTACGGTCTTCGTCTGCGCTCTCGGCGCTCTTAGAGGAGCCCTGAGCCTTCAAACTATCGTTATCCTGCGGCTTGACGACAAACTGTCCCTTTGTAACCTGCATTATATCGAGGGAATGGCCCGAACGTAACGTCGAGCTTTTTGAATCGTTGCGAAAATTCCTGTCGGATTTTGTGGATTTGATTGATGGTAACCGATCTAAAGAATGTTCAAATTCCCTAGTAAGTGACTCTATGGTACTTGCGGGGCTAGCTAGCTCAGATGATTCAAAGGTAGCACTAGAAGCAGACTTCTAAAATACAAAAACTGGTGAGTGTGGAGACACATCACAAAGTGAAATGATTGTATAGTGTATCAAATTACATTAAAAAAAAAGATGATTCAGAATAAGTAAACTTCACAATGATGTTAATACAGAAGGTGTCCTAATATTCTATATACGAGGAACCTAAAAATAATAGGACAAAATTCACTGCGCGACGCTCATATAGTTCAAGCTACTTCCACTAGATGGGTGTTACGTAACCCCTCCTAAGCCAATTTACCAAGTGGTGTCGCTTGAGATGGTTGTAACGAGCCCTGAGGCAGTTTTGGTGCAATGACTATTTCAAACTCTTCGATTTTTTAAAATTGTTGATATTGAAATTTTGTTTTCTGCTCGGTAAAAGTGTGTTGGATGTGGTTGTCTACAGGTTATAAAGGACATGCCTTGAAAAAGACTCAAGTGTATGAGTGGTATTCACGATCCAAATGTGCGGCATGTCGATTGAGGACATTCAATGTCCGAGTCAGCTTTCCATGTCCAGAACTGATGAAAATGTGGAAAAAATTTGCATACGTGTATATAAAGATGGATACAAGGTGAACTATTGATGTACTTGCTGAATTATCTGGTCTTACGTAGAGTCCAGTGAAACTCATTTTAGCCAAAGATTTGCATATGACATGAATCACGGTGAAATTCGGGGCTTGTTGATTTCTTCAAAAAGTAGCTTGTATCGTTGCTTGTCTTGACTTGTTGCACTACTTGGAAATGGACGCGAAATTTTTCGACAAAATTATTACCAGGGCTATGGGTATGGCCCTGAGACAAAGCAACAGTAGAGGAGGACCACAAACTCCCCTCGTCCAAAAAAAGACTCGGCAAGTTGTGAAGACACTGTTGACATATTTTTTCGACATTCGTGGCATTGTTCACTCTCCTACCTGAGTGTTTAGAAATGACCTGATTTGTGGCAAAGTGGAGACAGTTTCTTCCATCGTGACAATGCTCCAGCTCACACAGCCGTCTCTGTGCGTGATTTTTTATCGAAAAACTGCATGACACCACTTCCTCACCCAGTTTATTCACCTGATCTGACACCCTGTGATTTTTTTTGTTCCACTGGATGAAAAGGGAGCTGAAAGGGAAACCTTTCGGAAGGCATCGGAAAAGACGAGTATGAAAGACGTTTTGTACAGTCGAAAAAACGTTTGAACCAGTGTATTAGTATTAATTGAGAGTACTTCGAAGGTGTCTAACATTTGTAACCCGAAAAAATATATTCTGTACTTTTTTAAAATGGTGTCCGGTTATTTTTGGGTCTCCCCAAGGCACGACAGATTTTGAGGTAAAAATAATACTAAACATGAAACGTCATTGCATTTCATCTTATGTATCACAGGAAATATATGATAAATCAACACACTTTTTAACGAAATATGAAATTTTGTAACTAAACTTAAAATGGCATTATCCTGTTTTTTTTAAGTCTTGTTTATGTCATTTAACTCTTAAGAATTTTAAATGGACTTTTAGCAGCTAAACGAAGCAACTTTGAAGGAGGCAACTTTAGATAAATAGTCTGATTTTGAGCTCTAGAATCGGTGGTAGTTTGATCTATACAGAATATTAGGACACACCTTAAGCAAAATAAAAAATTTATAATCACTAAGTATGAAACTTTTAAATTTTATTTCTTTAATATAACCTGCAATAATTATGTTCTAGATTTTCCATCGCCTCATAAATCAAAGCTATTTTTTTACACAGGGTGTTACTTAAGTACATCGAAAAATTTTTAATTGATTTTTTGAGTGATTTTAAGCCAAAAAGATTAAACAAAGATGAGGCCACAAATTAATAATTTTCGAAATACAAAGTGTTCAAATTATAATAAAATTCCTTTTCTAAAACATCTGAAGGCCAGTGGAGGTACTGGAATGCACTCTCTCTGAAAACCCCAGAATTCCAGGACATTCGATATTTTGAAAATTTGGTCACTACCCGTAACACTTTGTGGTGTTTCCAAGAGAGATATTTTTCACTTTATTTGAAAATCAAACACTTCACAAAATAATTCTAGGACTATTCGTTTCTTGAAGATTAGGAGATTTTTTTGTTAAAAATATAATTTTAAATAAACCTAATCATGAACAGTGTGAAAAAAAATCATTGAAGTGACATTTTGCATTTTTGTTAAAGGTAGCAAAGGGGATTAACCGAAAAAAATGCACAAATTTATTTCTCAAACTTTTCATCATTACATTAAAAAGGGCAGTTCAAAAATGATTTAAAAATTCACTTCTGCACGGCACTGGAAACTAGTCCACTGTAAAACCTGACCTCGCACAATGCGACCGACATGGCGGTGTGATAAAAACGGACAAACTTTCGCAAGAAATAAATAAAATTTTATAGCGCCTATTTTATATCGGCAAATTCAGTTTCTACGAACTAACACAAATGCTGTGTTGTTTCACCATAACACAAATGCTTCACCATAATACAAATGTTGTCCTGCTTCACCATAAATTAAACCGATATCCATCAACTCCGAGTTGCTATTTACGCAAACCATTTTTGACACCAACTACTAAAAAACTATTGCAAACACCACAGATAACAGGTAAACACTATGGCAACGACGATTGCAAAATCTGATTTCAGTATTCGTATTCGCTGAGGCCACGTGGCTGAATGTACTACATCTTCAATAATTTTTTTCTCGGAAACTATAAGGATTTTACAAAAATTTTTTTACAATATTGACTCCATTTCTCATGCCGCATCTATTCCCAAATTTTTTGTGATAAGTTGTGAATCATCCTGTATATCTCTTTCATTACAAATATGAGTTACAAAATTTTTAAAATATTCAGTAATAATTAAATCGGGTTTTTAGTGGAAATAACCGAGTATTTCCACCACTAGTACATATTTATATGCGAATTCAGTGGACTTTTACCTTTAATTATCACGTAAATCAATAGTTTTGCATTTTATATTAAATTTCTTCAGAGGTATATTAGACTAGGTGTTTTTTTTTAATGTTAGCTCAAAAACTATCCATTTGCAAAACCATGTTCACGTATCACTCAAAAAATCACTCTTTGTATTTTGTGTAGACAAAACAACTGCATAACTACTAACTAATGCATTATGAATGATTGCTAATATTTTTCAGACTGAACTTGATAACTCAATTTGCACCCATTTATTTAAAAATATCACAAAATTTAACTTGTAATTGAAGCAGTATTTTATGGCCTAAAAACTAAAAATAATTCACTCAACGTTTTCGTTTAACTTATCTCGAGTAAAAAGCAAGCAAATAAACGATCCTTACTGTCAACACTAGAGAAGATGAGGGAGCTTTGTTTTTCTTTTTGCGCCTGGGTGGGGCAATGGGTGCGCCTACATTGCTGGGAACGTGCATGTTTGAAGCATCACAACTTTTTTGCGAGGTACTGGATGACTTAGTGCTAGCGATGACGTCAGGCTCCTGCAGTGGGAGGCATGCTTTGTTGGGTGGACAATCAGTTTGTGCGGTACCTGTTGAAAGGGTCATCGTACTCGGGTATTGGGAGTACTGCTTTGAGCTCTGCGTCGATTCCGAGTCCAGGGAGCTGCTGGAGAGAGCGGATACGGACATCGTCTTCCGCCCATGTTCAGGTAAGTTTCCTACAATCGCTGGAGTTTTCACGCTGCTTAAAACAGTGCAGTTCCATTTTTTTTATCAAACTTTAATCACACACAGATTACCAAAACGTAATTATAGTTTGTTATAAATGCGACATGTGCCTTTTCAGGATAAATATAGTCGTTCCGTAAGTTTGATAAAGAAAATATTGAACCACCTGGTATATTTTTATTAGATAAATATAGACCGTAAAAATTGTAAAATAGGTCCCTAATGTACAGAAATTGTGAAAAACATAAAATTTTATGGTATTCTATTAACTGTTCTTTAGGAAATCTCTTTAGGCATAATTTAATTAGTTTAGTTTTTAGAAATTTATCAATTTCTCAAGTAAAAACATAAACTAATGCATATACAGAGAATACATGTGTTACTATATAGAAACAAATAATTAATAATTTGCTGTACTATATTTCATTTTGAATTAAATTAAACATAAGATTATACATGAGAACAAAATAATATCATGTTATAAGGATCACAACAATAATCATTATATGGTATTAGCAGTGAATATTATCATACGAGGTGTGCACCATAATCGTTTATGATTCAAATTACCTACATAACTTTTTTAAGGACATCAATTAAGCATGGATTTTATAAGCTACTCCATCAGACAAGTCAAAATAAGGGCTTACGCTTACATATCTATTAGAATACGCCAGTAAATAAATAGCTTTTTCATCTTTTATTGCAAAATGTACCCTTTTCTTATGTGCTAATATGAAAAATAGAAAACTAACCTCAATTAAAATAAATATAAACAAAATTTTACAACTATAATTTTAAATCATCCTTACCACTATCTACTACACCTCCCAATATTCTGCCGACTCTCCCTAAAGAATTGAGACTCTGTAAGCTAATAGTGTCTTGTTCAATAACTCGAAATGGATGCGATGCTCTACTCGACGCTGCAAACACTCCTTCCACAGAAGACGTTTGACTATTTGGGGGTGTGACGTTGTTTGCCTGACAGTCTTCGTCATCATTTTGAAGCCTTTGACGTAATTCTTTAAATTTCTTTCTACCACCTACAGGCACAGCTTTGATTTGCGGTTCAACAAATGTTTTCGAATCATTTTGATTGGAACGATATATATATCGTTCTCTATTTTGTGGATTTTCCTCAACCAAGCCTGATATGTTGGGTTCGGAATTAGCCCGCTTGGTTAGACTGTCTTTGGACGTTTTTCGAAGTTTCCTGAAACATTTAAATTTAAATTTACAGATCTAGCAATTATGAAAAATGTAAAATCTGTCATATGTTTTGTTGCTTTGTTTTAGCATTTGCTGTCAAGTAAATAAAGCAAAAAGTCTTTCAAACGTAAAAATTAGAAACAGTTTACAGATTTTTTTGCCTATGCAGACTCGTTTTAAGGTAATTAACTCTCATTAATTAATTTTCATTTTTATACCTTGACCCATGATTAGGTGTATTACTAATGTCTTCTGCATCGTAGAATTCCTCAGAGTCACTATCACTAGACATATTTTTTATTTAATGGTATATTACATCGGGCCGTGATCTACGGTGCAGAAACATGGATTTTAAAAATTAAAAACCTAAAATTTGTAAAAGTTATTTTGGAACAGATTGACTGCGAACAGGCAGCGCCATATCTGTCAAATCTATGTTTAACTTCTTCTTTTACCGACCATCCCGACCAATCATTTTAAAGCGATCTGTGATTTTCGTTTTCTGTCTCACAGAGCGGCAGTATAACTCGAACTAGTACTCCGCTCAAGGCTGTTTCCTCACCCAAGAACCAAATCAACATGGAGGACCTAGCTGTTGAAGTATGCGGCGAAAACGGAGCCCTTTATAAGGTCTGTACAACGTAAAGTATATTGCTATAGTTTAAGAAACCCAGTGATACCTTAGAACGAACCTTGTGCTTGTGTTTTTTCGATATTTTGTGCCTGGACGACGTTATACTTCGCCGAGATTTTTAGAAAATGTGATTCACCAAACGCGGTTCTTTTGACGCCATGACCATTTGACAGGGCGTGAATTTTCCATGTGTCTCGAAAAGGCCGAGTTAAAACTTCATCGCTTGATTTATTCGGTCTACACGTCGGTTTTTTACTTGGAGTTTTTCGAAATTCCTTTGCGTGAGGTTCTCGCGGAAGGTTATGTTCTCGGAGTATCATATTACCTATGTAGCTTAGCGAATTTTTTCCTCATTTCGTTCTTCCGTTCCAGGGCTACGTTATAGACGTTTTCGACGATGAAGTACTCATACATTTTGAGGATGAGTAAGTCTCTACCATTGATATCTGCTGATCTCATTGTTAACTTTGCAAACTTTTCTTAGATGGCAGCCAGACTCAAAGTTCCATTTTTCACAAGTTAGATTGCCTCCTAAGCCTGACCCTAAAGTTGAATTCACAGAGAACATGGAAGTGGAGGTGTATTCGAGATCGAATAATCAGGAAGCGCACGGTTGGTGGAAATCAAGGATTAAGGTATTTAATTTGAATATGTTAACATTATTACGGCTTTGTTGTCGCACTAACTGTTATAGATCACAAAACGCTGTTGGCAGGTACTAACTTTTAATAAATTTAATGAAACTATCAATCAATTTCTGCAAACGGTACGAGGTAACTATTTGTTTTGTATTTACTGATGGGTTGTATCCTATTTCTGTCTTGTTTTCTATTTTTTTGTGCATTTTAGAGCGTTCTAAAAGTTAGTGATTTTGCAGAAAATAAATTAAACTACATAAAGTCCCTAGAAGAAATTTTACACCTACTGATTATGTTTTGTACTTCCCCTACATATTTTCAATAATACAAATTGTCATTAAGAAAAATTTTCCAGAACTGTGATTGGGATTTTGATGATTATTAAACAGTCTGATGTAATGAAGAGTAGTTTATTTTTGGCATCACGAAATGTTATTAAACTAGGTGTATGATTTTTTACAAAGCTTAAATAATTTTTGAGTGAATCCTGTTTGTGGTTAAAAAAAGCAAATTTCAACCTTATTCTATGATATTTTTATAAAATGAATTATTCATTTAATTATCTGCAAAATATTCATTATTAACTTATAATTTGAGAAATTTCGCCGTAACTATTTTTTATGTAATCCATATTGCAAAGAAGTATTTTTTTTTAACTTTCCAGATATATTAGTTCTCATCTTATCACCTGATTTAGTAGAGAACAATTAAGACTATATTCCTAAGAAAAGAACTTCAGTTGTCTTTAATTTGTTAAAATCTGTATGTTTCAAACAATAGTGTTGATATTTTCTGATAAAAAAATTGTTTACTAATACCAAAATATGTATGTACATAGACAGAGCTGGCACTTGTAAATTTTAATCTTTAATTCTCAGTAATATGTCTTTCTGTTAACATACCATTTCACTCGAAAGATATGTAATAGTATTGATTTTATTTGATATATTGAAAACAATTTTAGGTTATGAGAGATATTAATTTTGTTTAATTTAATCTTTATCAATTTTACTCTTTCAACAGAAAGTTGTAATAATTGCTAAACTATGAGCTACTAAAAAATTTGTTGGAAACCGTGTTGTATTTTAAAATGCACCATAAAATATCACATACTTTTGAAATGTTATGAAATCTAAAAATAATTATTTTGGTTTTTGCCAACCAATTTACTGTTTTCTATAGTTTGCTGTATATTTCTATACATCTATTTTTGAAAATTTAATTTCTTATCTCAAAAATAATTTAGAGAAAAAAAATATTTTGCCGTCGAGTTGGCACATATTTTAAAATTTTAGATATTATTTTATTATATAAATTTTTCTTTGTATCTTAAAAAAGATTGCCATTTAATTCATTTGGAGAGATTTCCAAGAGATTTAAATTACATTTGTCCAGAATTTACTATTTTCCGGTATACCATTTCAACGCATTTGGCATACACCAGACCATAGCGGTTTTTTAATCTTTCAATTTCTAATATTGCCAAATATTGTAGTGTAGTTTTTTTGAGAAATTTTGTAAACAGCTACAGAATTCTACATGAAAATATCATTGATTGGATGAGAATGTTAAAATTACGTTTTCAAATTTATAAAAAAAATTAATGCATTATTTAACCAACATTTCTGTCAAAGATGGGTTTTATAGTCATAAATTCTCTTTTTTTTAATGATTTTAATGAAAGGGTACTTTACCTCAAGAGATATCGATTTATTTTAGCTTCCATCGCCTCTACAATTTTGAAAATAACCAGTAGTACCAATTCACACAAAACTGAACATCCAGTGATGAAATTAAAGCTACAAAAATCGATCGTTTTGTAATTATTATTACACCGTATTTTATCCTATCTTTTAAACCTGAAATTATAGCGAATTAGTTTTATCTCTTGTGAAAACATAAATAATTTGAGATTATAACACTGTCATCATTGTGTTATTTTCTCTAGCTGCATGATGTTTTAATTGTTTAATTTGGTACAGGTTTAAGATAAGAGGTTAACTATTTAAACATTGTTAGTTACAAGGTTCTTGGTAAAAATTAATTAGGAAGGTTAATGTTTAATTTTATTTGTTTAAAATAAAATTATTTACAAATTTGGTATTTACTTATGGTACATTTTTTTGATAAAGAAAACCTTGATATTATTTATAACAGCTGATGAAATATTTTGAAAACGCCTTAACATATTATTTTTACTAACAAATTGAAAAAAAAAATCGCCAAGTTATAATGGTACAAATAATACTAGTGTGGTAAATTTCTTAGGTTCAAGAAATTGGAGACAATATAAATGGTTCATTCTAATTTATTGACGAATTTCGGTAATTTTTAATATTTAATCAATATTACCAATTTAGGTAGGGTTACATTTATTATATTTAAGTTAGTCTGGCATAAGTTTTTAGTTTATTAAAAGTTAATGGCTTTAAATTTGGCCAATTTTTTGTAATATGCAAAAAAACAATGTCACAATTTCTTAAAAATTTTGGTAAAAAAAACAGGTTTTAAAGTTATATGATGAAATATTTTGAGTGTCATTTTTACATCCGTGAGTTTGCTTAGTTTGATATTAAAACAGATTTAATTCAACATTAAATTTTCTTAAATAGAAAAATCGTGACTTTCAGATCTCGTGTAGTCAAACCCTTTAATTGTTTAATTCCAATCTTTTTATTGATTGGTATATCTGTAATGTTTAAAATTTCAATACACTTATATACTCCGCGGTCGAAATTATAGAGAGAGTGATTCAGACATAATATAAAAACACTATTACCATAATGCGTATAAAATATAAAATGATTTTTATACGGTTCAATATTATTTATCTTTGTGCTGCTCGCTACACATATCGATAGAATCTATAATCGTCTATAGACTGAGTTACACTGAACGTCGATCTATATTCTATCTCTGTCTTTTGCACTTGGTAGGGAATAGGGAAATGCTTTTTTAGTGGGTGTAAACGGACTTGATTTACCAGTCCTGAGAAACGTCATAGCATAAGTGTAGACGAAGGGTCTAATTCCATGGCTATAATAAATTTATAAATTAAAAAAACACAACTGGGACGTTTTAAAATGCTGTAATAATTAAAATGGATCAAAATGCCGATTATAGCAAACCGTAGAAAATATTAGATGTTATCTTTTTCAATATTTTCTATATCTTGTTGCCTTTTACGCAGACACACCAATGGATTTTCGTTCCCGGCACGCTTCATCCCCCTTAATAGTCCAAAAGGTAGCGATGAGTCACTCTCTATAATTTCGACCGCGGAGTATAGTTGAAAGAAAATGAAATAATAGGTGCGTTTTGTTGGATTGATTCCGAATTTATTGGATTCTTTAGAATGACATTTATCAATAAAAGGATTTGAATCACATCTGACATTTGATAGATGCCGAATGTCAACAGACCAATATGGGGTCAATGCTACACCAGCTACCTGCTACCTGTACCTTTATAATATGAACAGGTGTATCTTGTTGAACAAAACCCTTAAGGAGGTTCAATACATCTCTTGCGGGGCAGGCGGTGCGGGAGGGAAGCCTATGCTTATACACGGTAGTTTCGTTGTAGTACCAACCTTACATAAACTAATTTGAGCGAACTAAATATAATATATACAAATGAAATTTATACAACACATATTAGCTTGCATATATTTTTCGTGTTTAATGCACAGCAATTAACTTTTTACTTGAATAAAAGTGTCTATTCATTAAGAGCTTGTAAAATTATGGATGAAATCTGGCAACATTGCCATGACATGGTGGTAAAAGTTGGGTCAACTGTCATTACTGTCAACTTTGCGTGTATTCCATAAACATGAATGAACATCCAAGGTTCAAAGGAAAAGTAATGACTGAAAAGTAATATAAAATGCGTGTAAAACAGAATGTGGATTGACGAGAAAAAAGTAAAATGTGCAAACCGAGAATCCATATGATAACTACCAAGAAGTTCAGTGTATGATAGTGAGACGTCGCCTTGTCAAATTGAAGATTATGACAGAACATCTATACTGTTCGTTTTGCAAAGAGATCCTTTCAATATTTGTTTCAAATTGCTAGTATATTGCATTTGATCACAAAAAAATTATTTAATATTAATTATTACTACATATGTTTTCGACTGGAATAATTTTATAATATAGCGCGTCAGTCGAAGCGTTAAATACAGCGTACAGTGTTGCCATATTTCCTTTCATTGAATCAGATGTTTGTTCAAATTTGTCAAAACGTTATATATTCATTCCATTATCTCAATAATTACATTGTAAGTGCATATTTTTATTGTTTTAATATGTTTAGTAATATTTAATTCTTTAAGTACAATATTATTTTCCCGATCCTAACCATTTTTAAGAGCAATATTCAGGTTTGATTAAAGTTTTTTCCCCAACTCCCATAAGAGCCTGTGTATAAGAGCATAATTTTTAATATCATTTTTCAAAAAAACTACATTGGCATTCGATCTGATTTTTTTACACGAGGCAATTTGCATATTAACAGATTTCAATTGCTTTGAAAACTTTCTTACCATTTTTTTTCGGTATTGAACCTCCTTAAGTGCCCTGAAAAGTGAGTCACAAAACAATCAAAACACAATGGTGACAGTTACATTACAAGTAACCTCAAAAATTTGATCTCCCCACCACTTAATTCTAATAATTCCCTCTCAAACTACAGAAGCAAAAGTTGCAACCGGATTCAGAATTTCCTTGCAATAAAACGTCCATTCTGCATAATTCAATTCCGAAATCAATGCAACAAAACGTACCTATAGTGTCACCAACTTTTGCATTCATTTAGATGATATCAGCTTAAAAAAGATCACTTGATTGTTTACATCTGTCATTGTCAGGAGCCAAGTTTTTAATTTATCAATGGAAAATGCGTTTTTTTAATATGCATTTCCATCCAATTGCTTGTCAAATTCATCATTGGAAATGGATATAGAAGTTATGAAAAGTAAATGGTACCTGCGGTTGATATTATGATACTCTTGTTCAACTATTTATCAATGGTTCGCTTGTTAAAATGTGCAATTATAATTTTAAATATCCTTTTAAAGGATAGTACTAGTTGTGGCAGTTCAAAAAGTGAGGAGAGGTACATTATATTAATTAGAACTTGGACAAAAAACATATTAAATATAAAAAAATTTCAGAAACTGTTAAGTACACAAAAATCAAAAATATGATTTTTTTAATCAACAAAGGAAAGTGTTGAGGTACCATGTAAATGAAATTGTTGGATGAAGATTTGCGGCATAGTTTTTTATGATTTGTCAATATGGTGAGGTTAGAAAATCAAAAAACAAATGAGTGTTCCATTAACCTCATTATTGAGGTCATAGTGTATCAGACTTTTCCCAATAAATTTAAAAATGAGCCTTACAGCTAAGAAAAATAAGATTAATATATTTTAATTAAACCGAGAAAAGTGAAAACAAATTATTTTATCAATACTCATATCTAATTGTAGAAAATCATGTTATCAATTTAGTAAAATCATTAAACACATTTGCATAGTATTATTATAAACTGAGGTGTTACTTGCAAAAACCCCATATGTCAATTATAGATAAAACTAAGTGGTGTGTGTATATACATTAACTCTATTGTCTATTATATGAAAATTCCAGTAGTCCCTAAAATATGGATTTAAATACGTATTTCTTAGAAATACCTTACTTGAAAGTTAATTTCCTACAAAAATTTTAGATGATTAGTTATTTATGTACCAAGTCAGTAAAGTGATTCTCTATTGAACAAGACTGAGATTATGAGCCGAGCGAGCAAGGCGAGTAACAGAATTATTACTTGTCACTTACTTTTAAATTGAAAAGTTCTTCATTACGTAAAGCCCCAGCAATGCCCAACACAACACAAATCTAAAATAATTATGTACTACGTTTATATCAAATTATTAGAAATACCTTACTTGAAAGATAATTTCCTACAAAAATATTAGATGTCTTGGAAAATAATACTTTTTAAATTATCTGAATTGATGAAATACTGCAACTAATTGTTTCCATTTACCCAAAATGGCAGTTTGACAGACGTCAATTTGTGTTTATATAAATAAAAAAAACTCAAAGTTCAATTATAGTAATACTGATAATAGTTATTTATGTACCAAGTTAGTAAAGTGATTCTCTATTGAACAAGACTGAGATTATGAACCGAGCGAGCAAGGCGAGTAACAGAATTGTCTCTTTGTGCTCTATGTCACTTACTTTTAAATTGAAAAGTTCTTCATTACGTAAAGCCCCAGCAATGCCAAACACAACACAAATCTAAAATAATTAGGTACTACGTTTATATCAAATTATTTTTGAAAAGTTAGTATAAATTACCTTCATCAAGTAGATTTTATCTGGTGCATTTCACTGGTACTATGCACTAAATGCATATGTCATACTGGCGATTGTATTTTTTGACTGATTTTTGTGAAAGAATTTCCAAACGGGTTTCTAATGATTTTTCCCGAATTTCAGGCACTCAATGTCTTCCATCATTTTCTACAAATAATTCCCAACAAAATTTTTGCTATTGGAGGCTGTAACAGCGACAAACGATTTCTGATTAAAATGCTTGATTTTTACAGTAAAATAAAGTGTTTGTTTACTTTCAGAAATTCAATCCAATTGACCGTTGGCGATAAAAAATATTAAGTTATTGCATAAAAATATATTGAAAAACATATTTCATGGTTGACAGTAGAATTTTGCCCCAAAATAGTTCATTAGCTGTACTTTATTGATCTCAAGGTGATGTGGTCAATTTGAAAAATTCTTGACCTAGCTGAAATAATGTAATTGGTACACTTAATCTATTATAAAAATGTTCTAATATCAAGTGCACTATAAATTTCCATAAATAAATAGGTATTTTATATAAATGAACACAATAAAATCATTCGTTAAATATGTTTATCCTTACCTGACTGCTTTTATACCTCTGATTTCGTCAATATTAAAACGCTCGTCTCTTTTTAAAAATTCAATTCATGTTCATAAAAATATCAATTTTTGGTAAAATTTACGAAGTAGCTTTCACAAATCCCGATTCACACATTCTGCTTTAATTATAAGGGAAGCTATTAAATGATTATTACTAAATAATAATTTTACTTAATAAAGGAATTTGAAGATTAAGGAAAATAACTCGTAGACTTCAAAATATTTTATACGACAGTGTCACTGGCAGACTGCCACTACTGACAGTGTTGACAGAGCGTCTTCTTCCAATTTTTTTCCTTTATGCAATCATTTACACATAATTTCACTACAAGGTGCCCCTTATGACGTCACAGCCGTTTTGAAATGTTATAAAAAAATCAGTTTTAAATAATTTTTTTAAAACTGTTCTGACGTATTTCTCAATCTCTAATTGTGTATACACACTAATTAGTACGTGTAGAATTATATTATCTACTTTTTGAAATTTGGTCAACAACCCTATTCTACTTATTTTTTTTTAATGAAATGCAGTTAAAGATGTTTTTAAAGAATACCTGATGATGGTTAAAATGTATCTGAAACGTAATTAGACCGCCACAAATGACACATCAGTGAACAGAGAATTAAAAATTCTTCAGTATTTTAGCTTTTAAATATGAAAAATAAGATTCTTGCCAATGTTCGTAACCGTACGATAATTATCATACATATACAATAATTTTATACCTACGTACGATGTACGATGCACACGCAGATTGTATGATAATTTCCATTATAATGCAAATTTTGAGAATTCATTTTATTCCTACCCTGATTCGCCAATAACGTGATGAATCTTTCTTTTTTGCTAACAGCACTATCTATTGGCTCATTCCTTCCTTATTTAACGTGTGCTGTCATGTGTCAATCATATCATCCAGAGACCTGATTTTATCCATTCGTCGCATTCTTCCTACTAAAATTTACTTGTCATCATTGGTAAAGTAAATTGTATCATACAGTGTAGGAAAGTACCGATGGTCTATCAGAAGTTACGTGAGAGCGATAAATTAGGCCATAGAAATCCATGTGATAGACAAGGATGGCTATAATGAAGGCGTCTAATAGTCAACGCCCATTTCGCCCTTCCACAAATAAGAAGTGGATCTTATTTGTGGAAGGGCGAAACGGGCGGTGTCTATGAGACGCCTTCATTATAGCCATTCTTCTCTATCGCATGGATTTCTATGGCTTACTTTATCGCTCTCACGTAACTTCAGATAGACCATCGGTACTTTCCTACCCTGTATATCAATATTACGTTTAATATGATTTATTTATTCATCATAGACATTATTTTGATAAGTACGATAATTGCCTCACTTCAGGTTGTGAATACTGATTCTTGCATACAAATTCGAAAAACTCATTTAAAACAAAAGTGCAGATAACTATTTATTTATGACATACATTGCCGTATATGCAGAAAGTGCATATAAATTTATATATAATTTACATTTCAAATAAAAAAAATACAATACAGTATTGCAAAAAATACCAACAATGTACACCAAGAAATTAATTGGGTTAGGTTTTAAAGTGTTTTATTTTTTGACGTACCGAGGGGAACTTGATAAAAAGAGATGTATTCGAAGGATTAATGGTTAACTTAAAAAGTAAATACGTAGGTATACGTATTAATAGCTCATTCGCCACCAGTCGGTTTAAAATATGACACGTACTTTTTAGGTTATACCCATGCTCAAAGTATGTTTCTGAAAATTTTGTGGTCAATAACAAATAGAGTTTTTGTAAAGAATGCCTCAATTGTGATTTTATATTTTGATGATTGTTAAATTTTGCAATGTAAAAATCTCGTGTTGCGTTGTAGATGATGAAAGGCGATTTCTACGTTTTGGAGTATGTAGGTTGGGATACTACTTACACCGAAATAGTTAGTAATGACCGTCTTAGATTGAAAAATAATAATCCACCAATCGAGAGGAGTACGTTTCATAAATTCGAAATTGAAGTTCCTGAAGATGTTCGTGAATAGTAAGTCATCGGATCGGTTTGATCTTGCCGCACGTAAAAGTAACTTATGCTATTTTCAGCGCTAAAATAGAAAATGCTCATAAGGAATTCCAGAAAGCTATAGGTGCCGGCTACATCAGCTACAATGCCGACAAGGGCGTCCTCGTAGTTATTTCAAAATGCGAATCGAGTCGTAGGAGGGCCTCCCTGCTGCAAGACATGCATTTTAGAAGCCTCTCACAAAAAGTGCTCTTATTGAAACGTACCGAAGAGGCAGCGCGGCAATTGGAAAGCACTAAACTGGCAACTATAGGAGGGTAAGCAATTTTGAACATTCAAGAGGCTTGAATTATCTCATTGCCCCAATATATTTATTTGGGGCATGCCGCAAAATAAAAATAGAGGGAAAGATGCATGAGTTTATTTGCAATTTTTTTTATGTTCCAGTTTTTAGTGTGGCAAACTACAAAAAGGAGAATCCATCGAGTTATCTAATTTTTTAATGATTTTATATATTTATTTTTAGTTATTCGGACGAATTCATCGTTAGGGAGGACCTGATGGGTCTGGCGATCGGGGCCCACGGTGCCAACATCCAGCAGGCCAGGAAGGTGGACGGCATCACGAACATTGAGCTGGAGGAGAACTCTTGCACGTTTAAAATTTATGGTGAGACTGACGAGGCTGTGAAGAAGGCGAGATCGATGCTGGAGTACAGCGAAGAGTCCCTCCAGGTGCCCCGAGCCTTGGTGGGCAAAGTCATCGGGAAGAACGGCAGGATCATACAGGAGATCGTCGACAAGAGTGGGGTGGTGAGTCCGACCCATCCGTCGACTTGACAATTTAATCTTATGTTTCTGCCCGATAGGTGCGGGTAAAAATTGAGGGCGATAACGAGCCACAACCTACAATACCGCGGGAGGAAGGTCAGGTACCTTTTGTCTTCGTCGGCACCGTAGAAAGTATATCGAATGCTAAGGTTCTCTTACAGTATCATTTAGCTCATCTCAAGGTAGGTGGTTTCGCTATAAAGTGCTCTCTATTTTTTTTTTTTTTTTTGTATTTAGGTTTTGTGCGTAGGAAGGTAGCAGTATTATAATTTTTTTTCCCAAATCTCCTTGTTTTCCAGTCCTAGGTTTAAATAAAGTTGACGGTAAAATTGGAATGTGAATTTAAACGCTGCTGTTAGTTTATTAAATTTTCATCTCTGTTATCAAATGTAAAAAGAAGGGCTTTTTGTTGGAGAAGGCCACGAACATTGCAAATTTGTATAAATTTTCAAACAATTTTTTTTTAATATACAGTGTAACTAAAATACTTGACCAAATTGTACTGGAGTATTCTTCTTTTTAAAAAATGTTGGGGTATTAAAAATTAATAAAAAAAAAGCAGTTTATTATATTGACGAAAGATATATAGGGTGTAACTTTTAATGGATCATATTTATACTGTGGCTACCACCGACTTATAAATACATACATTTGTTTCTTCAAATGACATAATTTTCATAGCTCTAATTTAACTGTGAAGACGCAAATGGACCTTACCATCACTAAACACTAAAATAAATAAGTAATTAATAATAAAATACAACATTAAATTTTATAATAAAATTAAACTTAGTAAACCATAACACTGCATTATACAAATTATATTTCAGTTTGCCACTTGTTTTCTGCCCATCTAGCACTCTGTTGTCATATCGCATCCGGTGAATTGATATTATCTTGTTTTTGTTCAGGATCATCGGCATTGAGATTTACAAATAGTGCTTTTAAAAAAATAGTATTTCTAATTTTTTTACAGTATTACAAGTTTATTACTAACTTGAAATAATCTTTAAAAGATTTGTCAAATTACAGATTAGTTTTTTTATTTTTTATGTCTTTTAAAACGGCAAAAATAATTATTTAATTTTATTTTAGTTAGAATTAGTAACTTATGCCTAACCACATACCAATTTTAATTAATATTTAAGATATGCAAAAAATATAAATTATTTAAAAACACTCGGAAATTTTTTTAAAGTTCAACGCTTCATTGACTTGAGAAAAAAATATATTAACTTTAAAATAAGACGCCGCAAATCATTTTTTAGAAAATATTTTCCATTGCAGTTCATACAATTGGTCTAAAAAGGTAAAAGTTTTAAGTTTGGGAGCTGCCCAAAGACGATGTAAACAAAAGTTTAAGTACAATATAAAAAATGAATTATAATAAGTTTATTATATATTTCATTAAAAAAATAATAATTTCAGATTATTATTCTGGGAAACATGTACTATTACTTCTAAAAAAGTGACAATTGTTGTGACGGACGATGCAGTTACCCGCAGCACTAGGGTCTTATTACCCATTGTGTGTGCCGCTAATAAGAGTTAATTTTAAAACAGGCCTGTGCTTTATGCACAGGCAAGCACAAACTCTTACTTAAAATTACATCCTGTGCAGGCATTAGTAAATCTTCCAGGATTTTATTTTCATCAAGTCGTTAGTCGTACATCATACTGCCGTTGCAGACTACTATCTTACAGTTCTGTTGGGTGCATACACGACCATAAGATTCAAGACTTGTTATAAAGTTAGTTGACAACAAAAAATTATTTACGATCGAATATTAATTAGCTCAGTTCTAAGGCAAACGTATTACATACTTAACCAAAAATTCAAGCTCCGATAGGAATTTTACTACAGTTGCAGTTACTTTCAAATGCAATTCCAAATCCAAATTCTTCTAAATCTTCTACAGCGTACCAGGATCCTCTTCCATGGCATTTAAAATTTCTTGTTCTAAGTTTCCCATTCTCTGAGTTTATTCCCCTCCAACATTAGCTTATTGACGTTGAAAGCAACCATAATCTCTTAATGTTGAACCAGTCTTATAAACATTTTCTTATTCGGTACTTGTCGATCGGATTAATTCATCTAATATCTTCTTGCAACAGCATCGTTTTCTCCTTACAAAAAGTAAGCTTTAACCATATTAACTCTCTTGATTCATATACATGCTTTTTCAAAACATCACAGAGTCTTGGAAATGAAAACCAAAATACACTGTACCATCACAAAACTGAACTTAATTGAAATAAATAACATTATAAAGATATTCTTATACACTACATAACATTTTAGAAACACCTTTTCGGAAAGCGAACTGAGAACTAAAACAAAATGTATTGGGCATTCCCGTTTTGCAAAATTGACATAACGGTTTGTTTTTTATGTGTTCACCATTCCGTCATCATACCAGGTGTGAAGTCAACTAGCTGTTGTGGTTTTTCAGATGTGGTAGTACAACAATTTAACTTTTGAACAGTGCAACCTTCGTTGCTTTTCGTAAGTGTTCGGAACTGGATTGGGTTCTGCTTAAATTTAAACCGTTCATGGTTTAATTTTGCTATTTTATTTATTTTGGATTAATTTAATACGTCTAGCACCAATTTTCTGCCAAAAATAAGAAAAAAATAGAAACGTTATTTTGTTTACAATTTTATAACTTTAATTTTACCTGTTTTAACTTTCCTAAATGCGTTTCGTTGACATTGAGCTTCACAAATTAAATAAGTATATTTCTTAAAAAAAAAATGCATTTGCCTGCCTTTTTTTTTCTATTCGCGGCAAAAATGTTCGAACGGCAATATCAAATTTGGTGTTAAATTGGACAAAAGTGCAATTAAAACTATTGAAATACCAAAAGTGGCATATGGTGAAGCTGCTATGAAGTAATCTGCAGTGCTGGAATGGCATAAATGGTTCAAAGGGAAGTCCAAGGTGTCCAAAAATTCATGGAAATTACAATTATGTGGAAAAGGTACAGCTGGCAAGATCTGATAAATGGGTTGAGTAAAAAGATATGGTACAAAAGCTGAATTTAGGAAGGGAAATAATTAGACTTGACTAAAGATTTAAAAATGAGAAAAATTTCTTTAAAGATGTTTGTGAGAATTTTAACTAATGGATGAGCCAAGACAGCGCTTGCGTAACATTTTATCCAATCTTCATGTTTGGACATTTTGGACAAAAACAAAAGATTCACCAAGACAAAAAAAACGTGATTGTCACGATCTGAGATCAAGACCATGCTTGTTTGTTTTTTCGATCGCTTTCAATTTACTAAACAAGAGCAAACAGTGAGTCAACATTATTATTTAGATGTGCTTATCAGGCTACGTGATTCTGTTCATAAAAAGTGTCCCACACTTTAATCCTTCAACCTGACAATGCTCCATTCACTCTTTTTTGGCTATAAAGGAAACGGTATTATAATTTTCCAAATTTGGCACTTTGCGACTAGGCTTTTTCCAAAAATAAAAACCAATAAAAACGCCCGTGTTTCTGGTATTCAAAAATAAATGTCAATGGAATACTGTCTAATGAGGTGCATCTCAGTCCAGGTGCAGTAGTATGAAGGAAATAGTAGTTATAAGTAGTAATTACATAAAGTTTTCAGAATACAATATTGACAAGGCATTGTCGTCAATCTTCGTCTTTTATTCTATATTCATCTTTTGTTTTATCTGGAAGAGTGTAAACAGTTGACCTTCCAACCTCATTTTGGAGCACATTTTAACAATCTGTGTTTAGTATAACTATTTTCTCATTTTGATATAGTGCACTTTTAAATACAGGCTTCCCATTTTTAACACGCTCTTTATCGCGTCTTACACTACTCAGGCCACTAGCATGATAATACCTCAACTAATTTCACGTCTTATACCCTATTTTAATACAAATTTTGTATAAACCTTTCTACCTCCATTTATGGAGATTGAAGTTAGAAAGGATTACAAAGAACCCCGCGCAAAATGAATGGAAATTGGGTCTCGCTAGATTTGGCTGAAATTGTAATATGTTATAGTTTTCGACTTTTCGACATTCTGATGAAAAATTGTCACGGGCCCAAAGTGATGCTATGGATAGTTTCAGAGATATTTCAGGTCACCTGCGGGGTTTGAATTGAGATTAAGTCAAGTGAAATGACCTTGACTTGATTTTCAGGTGACCTTATAGGCCTAAGCTATCCGCGAATTCAGGTTCAGCGACCTCAAAAGCATACATACTTACAGGTTAACATTTGTGAAAGGCCTTTTCTTTACTTTGACCTTGAAATGATCTTGACTTAACCTAAATGTGACCTTGTAGGCCTAAGCTATCCACAAATTCAGTCCCCCCCCCCAAAACAAAAACATATGTGCTGGTTGAAATTCAATACAAGCCTTTTCTTTAGTTTCATCTTGAAATGACCTTGAATTAACTTGAAGGTGACCTTTAGGGTTACGCTATCTCCAGATTCAGATTCTGCGAGCTCAAAAACCTATACACTCACTGGTCAAAATTCAATACAAGTATTTTCTTCAGTTTGACCTTGAAACGATCTTTACCTGACCTCCAAGTGATCTTAGACAGCTAAGCTGTCCAAGAATTCAGGTTCAGCGATCCCAAAACCATTGTACGTACTGGTCAAAATTCATTACATGCCTCAGTTTTTGAATACATCAACTTTGTGAAGCTTACTCAGTCCTACAGCCAAAATCACACACTTTCCCCCTCTATATCTGAAACTAACATAGCATCACTTTGGGCCCATGACAACTTTTCATCAGAATGTCGAGAACTAGGTATAACATATCACAATTTCAGCCAAATCTAGCGGAACCCAATTTCCATTCATTTTGTGCAGGGTACTTTCCAAGAATAGTAAGAAAGCCTCAGGACGATTTAAAATTAACAGGCACACAAAAAAAAATGTCAGGACCCAGAGGGTAGACGCCCCCCTACCCCTTTGTTTTTGGGGTCGCTCATACCGAATATGACCATAAAAACAAATTAACTAGCCATTTCCTCGTTACCACCCCGATACACCCCCTTCTGGGAGTTGAAATGTCAATTCTCATACAAAGTCGAGTAGAGTATGTATTCCTATTTTCTGGGCCACTAAGAACAAAGAAGACTACCAAAAATGAATTAGACCCCTTCGTTACCCCCTAGCGTCACTTTACCACCCCCATACACCCCTTTATGGGGGTTGAAGTTTAAATTTTCATACAAAGTCGAGTGGGTTGTGTATGTCTACATTTTCTAGGCTGCTGGAAATAAAGAAGACTACAGAAAATGAATCACTTGAAAAAAATAATAATTTTTCCGCAATAACTCAAAAACCCTTTCAGGGATTTAAGTAATTTTTGGGTGAACTGTACATTTATTAAAGGCCATTAAAAATATTTGGTGCTTATTTTGATCTAACGCCAGGGGCGGCCTAGGCCAACTTGTCCTCAATGTTATGTCTTCATAACTTTCGCATATCCTAGTTTTACGTAATTTGATTAAGTTTTCCTGAATCTGCAATCAATTCTGAACAAGAAATATGCTCTTGATTCATAGCTCAAAAATGAACCGTTTTCAAGTAAATTGAGTCTAAAGTATCGACTGCATTCGTAGAAAAATACATTTAAATATTTTATTTGTTGTTATTTAGTAGGTACCTGTCATTATAAAAAACAAAGTTGTTTACAAGTATACATGTTAAAATTAATTACAGTACTTGAAATTACAAAAAAAATTAATTTACAATACAAGATATTAAGTATTATGGAATTTTCTAACAAGGAATATGCCGATATGATATTTGTGTACGGTTTCTGTGATGAAAATTCATTGGTGGCCTCAGGAGAATATCTACACAGGTTTTCAAACAGAAGGCAACCTTCAGGGCACTTATTTTTCCAAGGAATTCTTGAGACTGGTAGTTTCAAAATTGGAAATGCTAAAGTAAGAGGCAATTTGGAAGACACAAACATTTTAGAAGAAATTGCTGTTGTTGATGATCCTTCTACCAGTGTCCGAAGAATATCAACGCTAGTAGGTATTCCACGCAACAGCATCTGAAGAATTTTAAACCGAGAAAATCTTCACCCATACCATATCTACATAAAGTACAAACTTTGCATCCCTGTAATTCCAAAGAAAGGATACAATTTTAGCAGTGGCTGTTAGAAAATAGCGTTGAATGACGAAAATTTCTGTCAAAAGATATTGTGGAGCAATAAAGCTACAAATGGTACCTATAAATAATTTAAAAAATTTTCATATCTGGTCCATTGAAAATTTGCATATGATACCTCCACGTTTCAAATAAGATTCTCCAGAAATATCTGGGGAGGAATCTTCAATGGAGTCATTCTGCCTCGTCAAATTATTATAGACCGTTTGAATTCAGAGAGATACACGGATTTTTTAGAAAATATTGTTGATGGCATACTAGATGTGCTTGATTTTTTTTACTGGGGTCATATGAAGCAACTGGTGTATGTCAAACTCAGTAACACGAGAAACGATTTACTTCAAAAAATTAATACAGCCTCCGAGCACATTCAAGCAACCGTTGATTTGCGAAGGGTTTACAATTCCTTGTTCAAACGATGTCGGGAATGCATTGAACTAAATGTTCAGCATTTCGAGTTTTTATTGAAATAATTGTGTTCTATTTTTATTTTTTAATATTGTAATTTCGGTTCTTATATAATTTTAAATTTTATTTTTAGCTGCCCTATACGTAATCAAATATTAAATAATTCATAGAAAACTTGTTTGGTTTCTTCATATTCATTGAGCCGCAACTATATGGGAAACTGTATCTCAACGGCAAACAACTTTGTTTTTTATAATGACTGGTACCTACTAGATAACAATAAATAAAATTTTTACATGCATTTTTCTACGAATTAATGCAGCCGATACTTTAGACTCAATTTACTCGAAAACGGTTCAAACAAGAGCACATTTTTTGTTTAGAATTGTTTGCAGATTCAGGAAAACTTATCAAATTACGTTAAACTAGGATATGCAAAAGTTATGAAGAAATAACCTTGGGAACAAGTTGGCCTAGGCCGATTCTGGCGTTAGATCGAAATAAGCACCATATAGTTTTAATGACCTTTAATAGATGTATACTTCACCCAAAAATTACTTAAATCTGAATATTTAATATATATTTATGTACATACATAATTAAAGCAATGTTTATTAGTAATTGGATTTTTGAGAAATCTGGATTGCCACAGTTCTAATTGATACATATTTTCCAGACATTATTGTATCACAACCATCATTTATTTTTCATTGTGAGATTTCTAAAAAGGAAAAAATAAGATTATAAATTTATGGGGTTTATATGCATTTTTTTAATTTGAAGTGAATTTTTATACTTTCAATGTTTTTAGTTACACTCTATATTTTTTCTTAAAAAACATCTTTACTTTTAGAAAACATTGAGTTCACCTTTACATCTGTCAAAGTTCATTATACCACTTTCCAATTATTCCATATAGATACGACAAAATAATATCTGTAACCCTCTTTCTAATCACAAATATTAGCCTAGATGTCGAAGACTTGTGTGGAAAGGGGGAAGGCATATTATTATTCAGGGGATCACATTTGGGAAAATAAAGACGTATAAAAATCGATGGCTAGATTGCTCTTAACCTAGAAACACTGCATTCCCTAACTCTATTGCAGGAGGTTGAACAGTTGAGGCAGGAGAAGCTTGAGATAGACCAACAGCTGCGTAGCATCCACGGCTCGAGCCTGGGCTCCATGCAAAGCCTGTCGATGGGCAGGAGAAATGACCGCGGCTACAGCTCGGACATGGACGGTGGCAACAGGACCGGCAGAGGCGGCTCTATGAGGGGCCGTGGCGGAAGAGGCAGGGGAGGCCCCCGAGGCGACAGATACAATTCTGGTAGTACGCTTTCAGATTATGTTAATAACGTGGACAAGCGCAAGCCGATGGGCAACGGCAGGGGTCGGGGTCACAGCACGGCAAACGGCCGACCACCACGAGGCGGTGGCCCCAATAGGGACAGCAGGCCCAACAGGGGGCGCCTGTCGGTGGACTCTGCGGGTGGGGGTGACAGGGAGCGGAAGTGATTTTTGATGATTTTGTTGGACCAACTCGGTCGACTTCCATTAAACTACACTTTTGTAATAAATGCTGACTCGGCTTTCTGCATCACGTTATTTCTTTAATAGTGCCGTACGCGCTGGTTCCTCGGGTTTTGTGCAGGGTAGACGGAACGGGTTGTTTTTTGCTGTGGCTTCAAGGGGGGGAAGTATTTTTAACTAAAATCTTTTAAGATATTCAAATCGGTCAAGAAAAATATTTTCTATTTAACAGTTAACATGTTACATGAAATGAGGCTTCGTTTTCATAAATTACAATTAAATACAGGGTGTTTCTTATAAGGTGGATTAATTTTTTAATGAAAAATTCATTAAATTAATTTTCTACGAAATGTTATGGAGACAACACATTTTGCACAATGTGACAAGAATAAAGTCGTAAAGGAAATTGTAAGCAACAAATATTGGGAATTCTGCTCATAAAAATAATTAATTGTACCAGTTTTTATAACACTAGAATTTGCAATATTAATGGACTTATGTATTTTTTTAATTAATGTTTTAGCATAACTTTTTTTTTCTCCAGCCACTTTTCTTTCGAATTTTATGTACTTATTACTGGTTACAAATTACCCTACATATAAAAATTACCAAAATTCTAAAGAGCTTAAACCCCTATCGACCTGGAAATTGATTTTTTTAATTATAAATTTTCAAAAAATTAAACCATTAAAATTATTTAAAAAATTGCAAAAATGTTCGCCAATACATTAATCGTTTCCAAGTAAAGGCGCATAACTTCAGATATTTTGCACTAAATTATTTTCAAAACAAAATTTTTATTAAATAAATTATTTTTTTATGTTTGTTAACGTTAAATACATTTTTCCTTAGTTATCAATTTGGAGCAAGATAGCCTTTTCATGGCATTTTTTCATGGGAACGGTTAATGATATCAACTTGGTGTAGGTGTTTTAACAGTTCTTGTTAACCTGCTTAATTTTGTGAAAAAAAAGCAAATAACAGAGTTAATACCAATTTTCTGGTTACTGAGGTCCATTTAGACATTTATCACTTCAGATTTTTTTAATTTTTTTTCATCGGTGTTGTTTAGTGTCAATAATAAGTATCAAATTTGAGTAAAGATTCTTAATTGATTAGCAATCATTTTAAAATATTAATTTTTAAAAATTAAATATTGAGTTTTTGAAAAATTTCCTCATTATTTTTAATTTGTACCATTTACTTTTAGGATTAGAATCACCCCTTAGAATTTTTGCTCATAGTTTTTCCACACCTTCACTCTACCATTGATTTATATTAATAATTTTCATCCTACATCTAGATAGATAAGAAATAAATAGAATTACAGCAATAATTTAAATGCATAAACGGCGTTTACATATCAAATGTTTTTACTTTTTAATTCATTATTTAAAACAACTTTTTAGTTATTTTCAAAAATAAAAATTTCTCATTTATGAAATTTAATTGATTTACAGTTTTTGTTTGTTCTATAATCAATCGTCAATTAAATGTTAATTACAAATTGTCCGTGTTGGCAACTCCTAAATATACAAAGTATAAAAAATATCACAAAAACATATGTAATCACTTAATAACATATACATATACATTTTTAAGAAGCATCTGTATTTTTCAAAGAAGTGGTTAAAGGTCTCCCACCACAGCGAGCGACCTACCCATTTACCAGTTTTGCGCAACGAGACGCGGAGCTATTTTATCGTTTTCCGTTAATCGTTTATAATAAAGAGGAAAATTCCATGTGATGTCGATAGGTGATGCATAAAGCCAGAACAATCCAATTTTTAAATGACCTTATAGACTGACCCGGCCGACGACAATTTTTACGAGTTCTAACTTACGATATGACTTGGCGCGGTTCCCGTCACCGACTTGGGCCGTCGCCTCAAATACAATGGAGGAATTTTAACACTAAAGAGGAAATTATAATGTGTATAAGTTTATTTTTTTTGGGCTTATATTAATGTGATTCGTATCTGTCTATTCATGGGCTGTTCCAAATAAGAATCGGGATGAATGAGAAAAGGCTTCGCTTTTTACATTTGGCTAGCGAAATTCTTATTCGGACTTAAAGAATTACATTCGATTTCTTTGATTTTAACGTTCATTATTTTAAATGGTTTCAGTTTATTTTTCATTTTAAATATACCTATGTTTCTAAATTAATGGGTAGTGTGAATGTTTGGTTCTCTTCTTGCAAGATTTAATTTTCAAACCCAAGTAAATTTTGGTAAAAAAAAAAGTCTGACAAATTGACAACTTTTATAATTGACACAAATATTTTGAAGTAGGAATATATTTTTCCTGATTTTTGGAACGCCCTGCATATAAAATGTGCTTTTCCTACAGCATCAAAATCTTTTTTTTTTAACATTTCATTCTGGTGACTGAACAACATATTGTACATATGTTTTCTTTTTGGCCTATATCTATTTTTCCTTTACGGTTTCCCCTTCGGGGAACCGCTAACTCTTCACACTCGACATACTTGCTGTTCGAGCCAGTATGCTGTATAGTTTTAATGCATTTAAGGTTTTTATTTTTCATTTCAAATATCCAGTTCCCGAGTTTATAATTATTAGGTTTTTTTTTGTTTTATTCTTATATTAGACTGTAATATAATGCAGGACTATATATAAATATGGATTTTGTTAATAGCGAAAAGTGTTTCGTTGATTTGAGCCGTGGCGAGTCCACGGCTCCATGGCTTTCTGTAACGGTAGGTGCAGTTGTTCGCACACGTGTTCGTACTTTCATTTGGAAACATCTCAGTTTCGATTTACATCTGCACCTCCCTCCTAATCTATATATTGTCAAGAAATTAGACAGTTCGTTTTTAACAGTAAACAAAACTTTTTGCTTATTTTCCGCTTGGCATCTCTTCAAAAACCAGCTTCCGAAGATCTACGGTAATCGATTTCCATCACGGGTGTTCGCTCTCAATCCAGTTAGCGTTCTATTTCAAATAATTGTAGACATTTTTAAACAATTATTACCATTCTCTTACTTAGAGCTACTGTCAATTAGACTATTGCTAATGTAAGGTTTAAATTGTTTCCAGTAGATTTTCAACCGTTAACAAGTCTACACAAAATTGACGGTTAACAATTGAAAACTTGCAGTTCCATTTGTTACTTAGAATCAAATTGGGAATGATTAGATTTTCTTTAAAATTCTCAAGTGTTATCGCTAACATTAACATACATATCTTTACTTTGAAAAAAATTTAAGTAAGTGCCTCTTGTAGTTGTATATGTTATTAAAATGTCTGCATCGTTTAAAAAAATGTGGTGGCGAAGCCGCAACTCTTTCGATTTAGCGAAAGTAAGTACTAAACAATTGTGCCTGAATTGCAGAAATTTTAATTCGATAACAATGTGTGGTATTTTTGCTTTTTTGACTTGAAATAACTTTTGTGCTTGTTTCAACCCCGTAACGTTGAATATTTGTTATTCTTCTTGATCTAGGACCAATCTTAAACCGTACATACTAACGTCTCTTTGGCAGAGCGGAGGGTAAATAAATTTAAGGAACCGTCGATGTTCGACGATCTTCCGATGGTGTTTTGTTTGCTGTTAAGCCGAACTCAGAGTTAGTAAACCCCCAAGAGGCTTCTAAATATCTCTCAACATAATTAAACTTTGCTGGAAGGGTACGCAAGCTAAAGTAACATAGCCGTGTCATATATAGTGAGTACACTTCACGTTTGTGGATTCTGTTCATTTACTCGACGAGTAAATGTCGAGAATATGCTTACTGTGAGTTTGCTAACACTTAAGAAAAAAAAATGGGCAATAGTGACTGCCGCAGGCAAAGACTGGCTCACTAATTATGTCTCGTATCTTAATTGTGAAAGACTTTTTTAGAAATATAACTTGATTAAAAAAGAACTGTGTTCGTGTTTTATTTCGTCTGAGTTTGGACTTGTACCCTTTCAGCAAGATACGTTGAGGGCATATTTTGTATGCTTCTGATTTGTGCTACTAATCTCACTTAACACTGCATGCGCATGACTGCTCTAAGGGTGGCCAGAGTCCTAAGCTCACTATCTTTAGTTACCTTTAGTTAGAGTGAGACGTGTGTTGTGAGGTTCACGGAATGACGAGTGGATTTATCATTCTATTTCGTTGGATATACGATAGAAACATTTGCAACTCAACTTATTACAGGATTAGCAGTATTTTTTTTCTACTACCGTACATAAAATATAACTTTTTTGCACTAGTGCACAAATATTTTACAATTTGTACACTAGTGCAGAAATTTTACACTAGTGTATAAATTTTTTATTAATATGAAAAATAAATTGTTCATGTTTTGTCAACGATGATAATCTTTTTATTTTATGCACTAGTGTGTAAAATGGTACACTTTACACACTAGTGTAAAATGAGACAATGCACTAGTTTAAAAATGCTCTGCACTAGTGCTAAAAATGCAGGAAAATTATAACTGTCTCTTTTCACTTTGTACACTAATACAAAATGAAATACTTTACGCACTAGTGTAAATTGAAATGATTTGCATACCAGTGCTTAAATTTGTTTATAATTCATAGGTAGAGCTCGACATTTACGTGCAAAGTCAATAATTTTATTCATGTCTCTAGTTTTCATCTATAGTTATCCGTAATTTTCTTCTGAATTAAGTTCGATTATATTTATTGTTTCCTCTTTTTACACCAAGATTGCGATAATACAATCAAAGCTTTTGGGGTAATAGTCACCTAGGTACATATTTTTGACAATATAATTGACATTGTTCATTGTAGACCCCATACATCTGAATATTACACATCTGAACATGAAAGTTAGGTCTTGTAATAAAAATACCCAGGATGGTAGCTGTAATAGTGACCTTTTTTGATTACCAAAAGAGCAAAGGCTGAAAAATTTTCCTACGCTTCATTTGATATCACTAGTAAGTGAATCGACCTCCAGTTCGTGCACTTTGGGGGGTGTAGTTGCGGCAGCATGCCACACATAAAATAACAGCCACACAAAAAAAATTGTACTTTTCATGCGATATAATGTTATCCGTAGTATTTTTGCCTCCTGATCACGATTCCGGTGTCAGAATTGAGCTATCACATCACAGGAGTTTCCTAACCACAAAAAAACAGGTCAAGAATAGCAAAAATTCACGAAAAAGTTCTAGGAAAAATACATTCTCTTTCTATATTCAAATAAATGTTCATTTATATGGTTAAGACCCCGCCGAATGAAAATCCGCAATCAAAATTGATGATTCTGTTTCTAACCTCAAAAAAATAAAACTGGTCAGATATCACGAATTTAAAAAATTTACATTCGCGTCAAATTTGGGGGATTTTCGGGGTCGCTGATCACAGATCCGAGGTCAATTATGCAAAATTCAAGATAGCGGATCCAAGATGGCCGATCAAATTTTCAAAAAATAACACGTTCGCGCTAAATTTGGTATACGGGGGTTTTTGGGGTTGCTGATCACGGACCCGAGATCAATTTTGTGAAATTCAAGATGGCGGATCCAAGATGGCCAACCAAATTTTCAAAAAATAACATTCGTGTCAAATTTGGTTTACGGGGGTTTTCAGGGTCGCTAATTACGAATTCATTTTGTAATGTGTATTTGTGTTTAAGTACTTCATGGCCTAAGTACCCAATCATGTTTTCACCTTTTTTTCTGATATATTTTGTAAAAGCTATTCACGGGTTTTCTGCCTAATTTCAGGTAATAAAGTACATGGGTAATTGATTAAATTTTTAAAAATGAGTTGTCAATTTGATATCGGATTCGTGCTCAGTGACCCCGAAAACCCCCATATACCAAATTTAGCGCAAATCTGTTATTTTTTGAAAATTCGTAATATCTGACCTTAATTGACACATTTTTTTTTTTTTTTGGTTAGAAAACGAACCATCAATTCTGATCGCAGATTCACGTTCGGCGGGATCTTAACCATATAAATGAACATTTGATTATAGAAAAAATTTGTTGTATTTTTCCTAGCACTTTTTCGTGAATATTTGCTAATTTTGACCTGTTTTTTTGAGATTAGGAGATTCCTGTGATGTGGTAGCTCAATTCTGACACCGGATTTGTGATCAGGAGGCAAAAATACTATGGATAACATATATCGATTGAAACATACAGATAACTTTTTTTTGTGTGTGGCTATGTAATCATTAAAAAAACTAATACCGCAAAAACTGAAACTTTGCCCACTTATCAATATCTCGACAGTCTCAGCTTTTGCGGTATTTTTTTTTATTAATATTATTTTACGTGTGTGGGAAGCTGCCACAGCCTCACCCCCGGAACTGCGCGAACTGGAGGTTGATTCACTTACTAGTAATACTAAATGAAGCGTAGAAAAAATTGTCAGCTTTTGCCAAATGACTAACTCAAAACGGTCGCTGGCTCCCGGGCTATTAGTATGTACATTGATAGGAACACCCGCACACTTTTCACAAGAAAATTTCAAATTTCTTTAGATATAGCGATTCGTATCGGTGTGTGAAAAATATACTAACAAAAGAAGCGGAACATAGCGATGATACAAATCTCCCATCTCTTCGTTATAATTGTGCACTAAACTGTCGAGCTCTATTCATAATATATACAAGGTGTTCTGTAATGATAATCGAATATTTAAGGGTGTGATTCTACATGAAAAATTGTTGATAGTTTGTTTTATAAACTATTCTCCAAAAATGTTCCATTATGAAAATACAGGGTGTTAAAATTTTAGGAAAATAAGGAAATTAAATATTTTCAAAACCACAGATACTTCAAAATGTCAAAAATACAAGTAACGTATTCCAGGCCAACCAGGTTTATTGCAGAATTGTATTCTCCAATAATTACATTAATTAATTATGGACAATACAACGGGTTTTATTTTTTTACTCAAAAACGGCGCATCGCAGAACAAAAACCCAAGCGAGCTTTTATCTTTCGAATTGAACGGGAATTTCAAAAATAATTTATTTGGGAAAAAAACCATTGCCGTACCATTTTTTTCTTTAAAAATATCAATCAGTTTTCGTACGAACCCCACTGTTAGAGCTAAAAATTGTGTTTGTATCGGAAAACATGTCTATAATAACTACTACTACTATTTAACAAATATCACTGAAATCGAGTGGTTTCGAAAAAATTAATTTCCTTCATTTTTCTAAAATTTTACTACTTCGTTTTTTCACAGCGGAACATTTTTGGTCGATCGCTTATAAAGCAAACTATCATTAATTTTCCATGTAGAATCACACCCTTAAATATTCCACATCATTAAAGAACACCCTGTATTTTTGGTAGTAGAAAAAATATTGTAATAATTTCAACTCGTAGGAAATGTATACTTAATTGCATATGTAAGATAAAATAACTACTATGTATGATCCAGTAAAAGTACTGCGATAGTTAATAATGTATTTGCTTTTTTAATTTTTAGAAAATCTCGTGAATTTTTTTTTTTTTTTTTTGTAAAAAAATGGAATAACAAATCATAAAAATATGATACTCGTACAGAATCTCAAGATTTCCTTAAAATTATATGTAGAATATGAGAATAGTGTTCTTAGGAGAAGTTATTCCTTATTATTAAATTTCATATTTAGTGACTACTGAATTGGAGATTAAAATTATAATAATATCGACAATGTTTTTTTATTTCTGTCTTCAGGTAAGTATAATTTCCAACTTGTGAATATAAAATTGTGTTTGTCATCATCTTTCTCAAAAGTATAAAAAAAATTATGAATAATTTGCATCTCAATTCAAATAGTATCTGTTAATTACGTCCAAACATTTGTCTTAATTTTTTCTGTAGATTTATACGATCACATTAATATACCCAATGCATATAAACCGTTTTCATTAATGCTCAGCAGTGACGTTTTGAACCGGCACTTAACAGTTAATTTCATAGGGTCCCGTCACCAAACTCCAGACACAGCAGATGAGCGTGTTAGCGACTTACCACCACGGTACTACCCTAGAGGAGGCAGGGGGCGCCGGGACAACCGTAGGGATGACAGACGCAGAACCACCGATGATGAAGAAACAGTGCTAGACAGTCAGGACGTCTCCAGTGCCGACAGAGGTGAGTCTTAGATAATCGTCGATTAGTGGATGTAAAGTTGCACAAATTAGGTAGCTTGTATAGTGGGAAGTCCGAAAAGAACAGGTTTGTATTAAATATTATTATGTACGTGAATATAAGTAGTTTTACTGGCATGTTCGTTAGTGGTTTATTATTGAGGCATAGTTTAATTTTTTCACACTCAAATTTTAAGTTTATACATTAGTCTTAAAATATTTATATCACCGTTAAATATATAGGGAATTTTTTTTAGGTTGGAATTTTTCTTTTAACACGGCATTTGATCTAACATTTTTTCATTTTTTTAAATCGAAAATAAAAAACTACTTTTTTATTTAGTCAAGTCCAGACCTGCCTAAAGATGTTCATAGTTAAGTTATTCTTATGCTTTCATTCACACAAGCTATCACTTTGAGTATCCACGACTATGTGCGTGCTATCAGAAGCAAGTTTTTTCTCCGAATTATTTCTGTGACATTTTCTAAGCATTCACGTAATTCCTGCACACTGTTTACTTTATAGTCCATGGGCCCACGTACAAAGAAAAAAATGATTACCAGCAAGCTGTAACTTTGCTTGTAGCTTAAGTTTGACGAGTCTCCCAAGATTTGACTATGAGGAAAATTCAACAGTGGTAAGTTTTCCCGTGTTTTTCAGGAAAACATGTCAATCTGGCATAAACATGGAATGTTATGACCAGCACTTTTTTTTTAAGTTTAAATGAAAGATATATTTTTTTAAACCCCCCAAAAAATTTGTCTGACAAAAATGTTGGTATTTTGAGTTTGTCCCCCACCCCAAATATGTCAATTTGACATTATGGTTGGTAACAACCAGCAAGGTGATTTTTCTGGGAGGATTTGGTAATAAGATTGAAATGAAAGTATCTTATTGTCCGACAAAATTCTTGAGAAGTTTTTGCAGTCTGAAGCCCCGTAGATGTCGACTTAACGACAACATTGTTGGTGATAACCAGCTGTCGGACAAAAGCGTCATTATTTAAAAAAATGCAATATTAATCTGAGAATTTAATTGTTCGACAAAATTATCGGATTTTTTTTGCTTGTCCGACAAAATTAAACAATATTTCAATACTTACGCATGATGTAGAAGAAAAATTTATATTTAATAAAAAAAAATATATGAATAAAAAAAATTTTGTTTAAGTTTCTCAAATTTCAAAATAAATGTGACTAATTTAAATTTATTTTTTATACAATTACAAAAAAATTGTATACAGGGTGGTCCCGAGGTAATAGGTCAAAATTCATGGGTAGATTCTCGAAGAAAAAATATTGCGATTTAGCCGAACTTACCTTAGTCCAAAAGTTAATGGTTAAAGAAATACAGGGTGTTAAATGTAAAATATTATTTTAGTTTTTTTCATTTATTCCTTAACAAATGCAAATATGAAATCATTTTGATGGAGATTAATTAAATTAGTTAGACATAATTATTTATGAATTTCAATTTCTGTTGCTCCTGTTAACAAGATAATTTTCTTATTTATTCTTTTTTATTTTTTAAATAAAAAATTTATTATTTTATACCGGAATGAACATTAGGTATCACAAAAATAGTTATTTTTCCCATTTTTAAGGCAAATTTTCCAATCTTTTTGGCGGACAACTATATTATTGTGTTTCAATTATTAGAGAAAAAAATCAAAACCAGATTGCTGGTTATCACCAACCATGTTGTTGTTAAGTCGACATCTTCGGGGCGTCGGACTGCAAAAACCTCAAGAATTTTGTCGGACAATAAGATACTTTCATTTCAAATCTTATTACCAAACCCTCCCAGAAAAATCAGCTTGCTAGTTGTCACCAACCATAATGTCACCAAATTGACATATTTGGGGTGGGGGACAAACTCAAAATACCAACATTTTTGTCAGACAAATTTTTTGGGGGGTTTAAAAAATATATATCTTTCATTTAAACTTAAAAAAAAGTGCTGGTCATAACATTCCATGTTTATTCCAGATTGACATGTTTTCTTGAAAATCACGGGAAAACTTCCTACTGTTGAATTTTCCTCATAGTCAAATCTTGGGAGACTCGTCAAACTTAAGCTGCACGCAAGGTTACAGCTTGCTGGTAATCATTTTTTTCTTTGTACGTGGGCTCGTGGACTATTAGCCTTATACCACCAAACTTTTGATGCAACTCAATAGGTAAAAATCGCATAGATTATAATCTGGCGACTTAGAAGCCACAATTTTGTACCAGGGCACTTCCTTTGATAGTGCAGGAAGGTTATTTAAAAAAAAAAAACAAAATTTTGTTAGGCATCTGGTAGTCCAAATTAATGATTCCATGAGTATTTTAAAAGAAAATCTCCAGCTTCAGGAACGATCTTTATACAGGGTGTTCCACCTAAGAGGGATTCTTCTGTAACTCTGCAACTGTAAAATTTATAAAAAAAATGATTTTAATAAGAGTTGCCTATGTAAAGAAAATATTTTCAGCTTTAGAGGGTGTTCCGTTTATTTTAAATGGAACACCTTCTATATTATTGCATTTTTGAATTCCTTAGTTAGTATTAGGTAGAGTTTATTAAGCATACATGGTGTTTAAAACTTACCATTTCTGAGATAATCAGTTGTTTTTGGAAAAACTCTCAATTTCAGCTCTCTAAATGAGGCTGGATAATGTTTAAACCGTAAGAGTTAGAAACCTACAGTTTTCACAGTTCGTTTTGGCATAAATTACTCTATCTTGTCATCTGTGAGCAAAATATGTACGTTATTCAGACTCGGAAATACTGAGACCTACTTTTTTTTTTCAAATGGAATGACCCATATTAATTGTCATGGGTGAATACAAAATTGAATGCCCTTTCAACTGATATAAGGTTGTCCATACTTATCTTTAAGTTTTCCAGAATAATCAGGTTATTTTCTAAAGTCCGAAAAAGTAGCTATATAACAGCATCAAGAAGGCCTTGCAAAACCACTTTTCTCCCACATTTTATCATGCCTGGGACTGACAGTGTCAATATTTACTGGCATGTTTAAAAAGTGGTTTGGTTAACAACAACTAAAACAAAAAGCAAAACGAAACAAACTAAAACTTGGAACACAACAAGGAGAAGAATACTTAGACTGCTGATTTACATCAGTTGCTCGAAGTGTCCTCCAATACACAAACGAATTCGATTTTTAAAAGACTGTTCAACATTGGTCAGCATGTCTGGCGTAATTTCTTGAAATGCTACTGTAATGATCTGCCACATATCTTCCGCGGTAGTTGGCGATGTAACGTAAACTTTGCTTTTTATAAATCCATAAAAGGAAGTCGCAACTTGTCTTATCTGGACACCTTGAAGGCCAACTCACTGGTCCCCCGCGCCCAATCCATCTATTGGGAAAAGTTTTGTGTAAAAACTGATGAACCGCAGCGGTATTGTGAGGTGGAGCACCATCATGTTGCATCCACATTCATCGAAGTGTAACTAAAGGATTGTCGGCTAACAAATCTTCTAGAGTGTTTATTAAAAAGTTTAAATAAACTGCTCCAGTTAGATGCTGGTCAAAAAAAAAATGGTCCATTGATACGGAGTCCCAAAATTGCTCCCCACACTTTCAAAGACCATCGTTGGCTATGAGTTGTCCGGAATTGGTTAGGATTGACTGTGTCATAATAATGGCAATTATGGCTATTAACGAAACCATTTTTATGGAAAAAAAAAATTAAAAAAATCATCTTGATTTAACATCTGAAGTGCCCACTGACAAAACTCCAGTCTCCTCTGAAAGTCTACTTTTAGTAACTCTTAGTGTAATTGGATGCCATAAGGATGTGCTGTGCTGTGCTTTTGTAAAATCCTATGTATCGACCTTGTACTAATACAATTGCAAGGCCTTCTTGACGCTGTTACATACCTACTTTTTCGGACTTAACAAAAGAACCTGATTTTTCTGGAAAACTGTAGAGATAAGTATGGACAACCTTATATCAGTCGAAAGGGCATTCAATTTTGCATTCACCCATGACAATTAATATGGGTCATTCCATTAGAAAAAAAAAGTTTTCCAACTCGTAAGATTATTAAATGTAGGTCACAGTATTTTCCAGCCTGAATAACGTACACGTTTTGCTCACAGATGACAAGATAGATTAATTTATGCCAAAACGAACTGTGAAAACTGCAAGTTTCTAACTCTTACCGTTTAGACGTTATCTAGCCTCATTCAGAGAGTTGAAATCGTGATTTTTTTCAAAAACAACTGATTATCTCGAAAACGGTAAGTTTTAAACATCTTGTACATTTAACCAAGAAATTCAAAAACGCAATAATATACAGGGTGTTATGTAGCGCCCACGCGAAATGAAACACCCTGTAAAGCTAAAAATATTGTCTACATGGCCCACATGATACCAGACAACTTTTATTAAACCCATTTTTTTTATAAATTTTACAGTTACAGAGTTACAGAAGAATCTTAGGTTGAACACCCTGTATATACATTGGGAATACAGCTACGTAAATGAGGACTACACATTTGAAAAAAAATGTAAAATAAAATCCAAGTGTAAGTTTCGCTTTGTAAATTGGCCGCTGATAAACCACCGGTGTAAATATATAATGAGCGCTGAACATAGGCTAGTAGCATGTAAACTAGGATTTACACGGTGACTCTCGGATTGCGTAGAGTCGGTATCGAGTGTAGAGGCGGCGTCGTGGTCTGGAGGCGGATCCCAGCGCAGGCGTAGGCGTCGCGGGAGGCAGCGCAGTCGCACCCCCTCTCAACCGGTCAGTGATCAAGGTAAAGCAGGATTGAGAGCTTAAATTTTTACTAATCTCTAGCCAAGTGACTCACAGCTTAATTGTCTTAACCCTGTTCCACAGTGTATTGAGGTATTTCTGTGAAATATTTTTTTTCTGTGAAGCTTTTTAATCGATGTTCTAGATTATGTATGATATTTACATCTCTTTCGAGTTTTATTATGTCTTGGTAGTAGTGAGCAAGCAATGTGTGCTTTTTCATTGAACTTGTGAGATTTTAATGCTGCATCTTTTTTATACAGAGGTTCATAAATCATTACAAGCCACATGAGCAGCAATTTTGTTGGGAACAGAAATATTGTTTCCTTTATGTTGCCTATTTCACCGGCTAGTAATTGGTGTAATTTTTCACTAGATTCTATTCAACCAATCTGCATTACATTATCTCGAGCGTAGATGTAACGGTTTGTCATTGTAAACAAATCATCAATATTGGTAATTCTAGCAAGGAAGGTAATTGGATTTTTTTAATTTTTGATATTTGTGGTACGTGTACTTTGGACCTTGAATAAAAACATTTTTCAACTGGGAACGTGGCCTAGTCAGTAGCATTCGAGTCCGACACTTACGAGATCACCTGTTCGAGTCTTATCGTGCGACCTTTTTTCCCTCCTTTTTTTAAATCTTTTTCTTATCTCGAAAATTATGAAAAAACAAAATATTATTATGACTATATGTAGGAATAGTCTTCAAGTATTTCATTAAAATGCACAATTGGGTGATAAACAATATTTATTATGAATTAAAAATAAGGTTTCTTTAAAAAAAAACAAACGAGGTCTGGTAGGAAATGAAATGTTCTTTTATTTTATATCTAGTATTTGACATTTTACGCAGTGTAGCACGAGCCAGCATGGTAGTCATCATAGAAACATGGGAAGCAGACATTTTTATAATATAAAACTGACCTCGTTTATTTGTTTTTTTTTAAAGAAACCTTATTGTATTCATAATAAATATTGTTTATCAACCAATTGTGCATTTTAATAAAATACTTGAAGAATATTCCTACATACAGTTATGAGAAAATGAATAAAATCGGATCAGTGTGTTTTGAAGGGAAAAAAAAAGATGTCGCGCGACGGGACTCGAACTGACGATCTCGCGAATGTCAGACTCGAACGCTACTGACTAGACCACGCACCCAGTTGAAAAATGTGTTGCATCTAGTAGATTTAGCTGTCAAGTAAAACTTGAATTCAATTCGATTATGTCGGTAATTTATGAACGTTGCGTCGAACTACTTCGGAAAATTCTTATTCAAGGTCCAAACTACATGTACCACAAATATCCAAAACTACAAAAATCTGATTACCTTCCCTTCCCCTTGTAAGATTTAGGGATTTTTAGTTAACAGTACCGGCCGTGCAATGTTGGGTTGCCCAACGTGGCTTGTAATCATTTATGCAGACTGTATAGTGTAATTTTGTGCTTTTTTTGAGGCAATCATTTACAAAAATAGTTATCATAAAACTTCATAAGAAAAAGTTATTCATTCTTTTTTTAATTTGAATTTCAATAAAAAATAGCTGTTACTGAGAAATAGACCTATATTTTGCGGTCGAAATTATGGAGAGTAACTCATCGCTAGCTCTTGGACTAGTAAGGATGAAACGTGCAGGGAACCAAAATCCATAGGCGTATCTGTTTAGAAGGCAACAAGATATGGGAAATATGAAAAAAAGATAATAATACATAATATCTATTATTTTTAGAGGTTTTATCAAGAGGACTTCAAAAATATTTTTGCAACATTTTGTTTTTAAATTTTAAGTGTTTTCTATAAAACAATGCTGTCTTGGACGTCAATGACCCACCACCACCCAGCTTATGCTGCCAAAAGATACTGTAACGTTGACTATTAATATATTCTTAGTTTGTTCATTGTAACCAGTCATTATTTGCTCTTCTTTTGCTGATGTCTGTAACATTTCGAGCCTTCTACTATGATAAGAGGCGTCACAACAACTGCTCCTGGTTCTAGGTATCATAAAACACTTTCAAACCATCTTTCAAATATCATGACTGAAATACATGCAAACCGATTTCTGAAAATCCCGAATTGCTTCCAATATGTGTTATTATCAATCTTCGTCCTTTTCCAGAGGGCGCCTTTAATCCAGTAGAAAATCCATCTAAAAATGCTTCTCTCTTTTAACATTACCATTCTGCCAAGTTTTTGATATAGTTTCACCTTCGTTTACCCATGTTTCATCCATGTAATATATCTTCTTGCCAGATGTATGAAGTTCTCTTATATTTTCTAAGTATTCTCTTCGCCTTACCACAATTTCATCTTTTTCAATGAGCATACTATTCTAATTCCGTTTCAAATTCATGTCACTCGTTATCGTTCTAAGAACCTTATCAGAAAATTTAGGAATATCCTTATCTTCAGCTATTGGAGCTTGAATACTTATTGTTGGTGTTTCATTTCTAAAGAAAAATCCATTAATTTTCCTAAGTATGGAGTATTTCAAATCATTATCGGCATCTATTTTCTTCCTTTCTCGTGTTTCCATTTTTTGCAAAGTAACAACAGATACTTTTGTCAACGAACTACACATATCAACAGCTTCACTTACTTTTGTATTAGAGTTTAGCATCCGAATTCCTTCTTAAACGTTTTTTTACCATTATTAATTCCGCATCGCGTAGGTTAGGGCGTTTATGAGCAACAGGCCGTTTACTACTACCGACACTGATCCATTTTAATTATTACGTTTTAAAAACTCCCGGTTATATTTTTTTAATTTATAAATTTATTATCGCCACGGAATTAGCATCCCTCTCGTGCACACTTATCCATTTACACCCACTAAAAAAGAATTTCCTTATAAATATTAAGTACAATAGACAGAGGTAGAAGATAGATCGACGTTCAGTGTAACTAAGTCTAGATCCTATCGATGATGGAGAGCGGCAAATCATTTTATATTTTATACGCTTTATGGTAATAGTGTTTTTATGTCTTGAGTCACTCTCTATAATTTCGTTGCAAAGTGTATAATAAAAAATAATAGTAAGACTGTCAATATCAACTTTGAAAATGGGATCCAGTTTTAGTCGTGTGTTAATTTTGATGTGAAATATATTAGATGTATTTTTCCACAATTTCTTGTTCGATTTAAGAAGTGTTACATGCATGCACCTTGTTATATAATACTAACAAATCTGCCACGTACACTAATAGCTGTTTTTTAATCACCAAGATAATTTTATTTGTGTTTTATAACAATGTAACTTTATGTAGAACTACATATAACACTTTAAGAGTACTACTTACTAATGTCATCAATTTGTATAATTATGTACCGCACATGTAATATTTTCATTGCAAATGTATTATATGTAACAAAATGTAAGCAATTTTTCTTGTACGTAAGGGGTTCTAAAAATATGTGACGTTTACATCTGTTTCCATATTCAAAAAATGTTTTAATACATTTTTTTTATTTCAAGATATTCAGTCAACATTTTTTTACAGTACTGTCACATATAAGATAAATCTTATACTGGGTAACTGTTTTACCTGCACCAAGGGGATCTCGGTTATTTTATCCAAATTTTTAAAGTTCGGTTAAAGCAGGATGGTATAAAAAATTTTTGCAGAAAGAAGAGATAGGCTTCAAACTTATTGATTAATTAATTTGAGGATTTTGAGTGGAGGTTATACTTATATATAAATTAACAAATACTTTTATTAAAAATTTAAAAATGATTTTAAAATATATTTCAAATGAATCAGATTAGTATTTTTTTTTGTTTTTTTATGAAGTACATTTTATAAAACGGCAAAAATAATTTTTAAAATATAAATTAGTTTACTTTAACTGCTGCTATGTGGATGTGGATATCCAATGTTGGGCATTAATCAATTAAATTTTCATTTAATTAATCTTGCAACTAAATCAATTGCAATTAACTTTTCCAATTGTTTTAAAAAATGATTTAAAACTAACAATTATACTGCTTCAATACAGGCAGACACTTTAATTTTATGTAAACAGATATTTGTGTAAAAACATTTGTATAGAAATGATTACTAAAACGTGATTGTCAGTATTAAACTTAAATTGATAAGTGCTTGTCAAAAATAACTTAAATTAACGTATTATTCACAAAATTAAACTTAAATTAAAAAAATATAATTAAACTTAATTAAGTTTAATTAAAATTGATAATAATAGCAGCCTTTTATTTGTTACATATCTACATATTTTGTTCATAACTTACATTAAACTTTTGTTTTGGCACCACTATGCTTTTCATACAATAATAAGTTTGAATTGTTAGTTTTTAATCAAATACATTAAAAAGATTGACGATTGATTAATCGTTGATTGTAGACTAACAATTAATTAATTAGTAATTGTCCAACAATTTAATTTTGCCCAACACTGCCACATAATGAATGTTTAAATGAAATAAAAAGTATTTGTTTTTTTAAAACATTTGAAAAAATTTTTAGTGCTTGACAATTTGTCCTCATCGGCACAAAAATATGCTAACTTTAAATTAATAAGTCACAAAGTCATACAATAGCCATTTGTTTTTTCAAAATTATTTTCCATTACCATTTGACTGCCATATTCCATCAGTTGGTTTTAAAACATGACAACAAGCATGAGTGTATATACAACCCAGTTCGTTCAGTGGCAGTGTAGACAGCAGTTTAAAAAATGAGATAACTCCACTATTTCTTCTGATTATGATATTTCATCTGTTGAGTGTAGTCAATTAAAAAGCAATTTTCACACAAACAGCAAATATGCTTTAAATGTATGCATTAGTTAACTTGAAGAATATCTAATGTTATTGCATTTGAAAATTGCATATTTAGTTTTTTTTTCTCTCTGTAAAATTGGATAATTTCGTATTTTAAAGAAAAAAAAAACAGAAGAAATACTCAGTTCAAATGTATAAAAATATTCTCTATAAAAAAATGTTATAATAATTATTTCAGTGTGAAAACTCAACCTTTTCTGTTTTTCTGATAAAAATAAAAACAAAAATCAAAACTTTTATTCATTGGTTGATAACTCCAAAATGAAAAAGATGGATCACATTTTCCACTGTTCATCATTAATTCTTCAACTTTGTCCTAATTGGTCTGTCTTTGTACAGGGTGATTCACTATATTTTGATCCCCCCGGTAACTTTTTGTTTTTAGAATTGTAAAAAAAAAAAATGTGAAATTCAAAAGTTGCACGATTTTTTATGAAAATTATAGCTAAAAAACAAATGAAATCCAAACAATATGGTCGCGGATGTTAACTTTGTTAATTTAAACGGAACACCCTGAATATTTTTACATATTTGGATAGAACGTTCCCTGTCTAACATAATCATATAGAGTTTGTTGAGTACATCTCTAACAATAAGCAAGTTACTATTAAAGTACGAAAAAGTTTTTTTTATTAAGAAATTAAGATATCTTGTAATTGTTAGACCTCTTTCCAGCATATTTGGCTTTCTTCCAATTACGTAAGGATTTATAGATTTAATAACATATTTTGACATATCGGACATTGATACGGTTCAAAGTGCGTATAGGTATTTTAACTAAATCGCACTAATTAAGCCATGAGAGACTTAATTACTCATGGACAATGTTATATGGTAGGCCGTGACAATGATAGGTAGTAATGTCATGACAACATTGTTGTTGTTTGACAGTTTATATTAATATTTAATTAAAATGGGTTACATAGAAGATCGTTTTTAATAGTATCTGGCTTATTGTTAGAGATGGACCCCTATATGACTATGTTCGACAGGGAACACTATCCAAATATGTAAAAATATACAGGGTCTCCCATTTAAATTAACAAAGTTAACATCCGCGGCTATTTTGTTTGGACTTTATTTGTTTTTCTATTATCATTTTCAAAAACTTCATAAAAAATCGTGCAACTTTTATAATTCACATTTTTTTATAACTAAAAACAAAAAAATTAATAGAGGGGGTCAAAATATAGTGAATCGCCCTGTATATTTTATTAACTAATATCCCCATGGTGCGGTTGGAAAAATGGTCACCGATTATAAACAAGTCGAAATGTACGTCGCTATAAAATTGATTCCAGTGTTTGTTGCAGTGAACAACCACATGGGCACCGGTAATCCGGAGTCGACTTCGCAAATCGACAACAACGGCCACTCCGATAACTCTACAAAGCCGCAGAGGGACGGCAAGAGCCGCCCCAACAGACCGCCTCCGTCCCGCAGGAACGACGCAAAGCCAAAAGAAGCATTGGTGAACGGCACAACCACATAAAGCCAACGCGCCTGGTGCCAAACAACTACCCAGTAATCCTTGTGCGCTCGTACATACATAGGCAAGAACAATTTTTAGTTTCCTTATCGTTAAAAGTTGTGTTGCATATCTTTTCCCGGTGTAGTAATGAAAAAAAAAAGTGGGCGGTCTGCTGCCCCATCACGGATGAGACCACAGAGACTGCTTGGTTCTGTGAACCGTTGCATCTTTTGTTGTAAGACTGCTCAGTGTTTAAAAGTGGTGGCTGCCACAACGGGTGAAGCTTACTGCGATAGACAATTCATTTATATAACCTCAAAGAATTTGTGACTACTTTTCTAATTTTCATACATTACATGTTACTTAGCGCACAAATCGCCAAAATTTAGGATGTCATCTATCATTTATAGCCCATCGGTGGAAGGTTGTCTTTCATCCTGTATTTATGTATTTTATTTATTATTTTTTATTTTGTTTGTTTCTAGTTGGTAGACACCCAATGTAACTAGTTTGTATATTAGTTACAGATAGTTTTTTTTTCTATATATTTTTTCATTTTAGTTTTTAAGTGTAACAGTGTAAATACAGCCTCCCCCTAATAATTCAATTTTCATTATTCTTACAGTGTTTGATTAGGTGCTCCCCTTAGTTTTGTTACACTGTTTGTTTATCTGCTGTGTATTGGTATAACACCTTTTGCATTGAATAAAACATTCAATAATTTTCCTCTTGGTCATTTTCATTTCCATCCCAGTATACCGAGTGACTTTTTTAACCAGAAAATTTCAAATGTCTGGGGAAATAAGCACTCTACGGAAAAGTGTACATAACCAAATTTTCTTCGTTCCGCTGAGGAAATACATTACTCCCACTTCTCCCCCCATTGTAGATGGGGTGGGGATCTTAAATAGGAGAAATTTGCTACAAGGATAGGCTTTTGTGAAAGCTTGCAAAATTTTTTTTACATTACAAAATTAGCGGTGAAAAAAATGTGCAAAATTTTCAGCATTAAATAAAAAGAACGAATTTGACTGAAATTAGATGAAACCACAGGAAAAGATAACTGTTGGGGTACTCAACAAATACCTGCAATCCGGACCCCCAATTTCAAAATGGCGGCCAACTGCAAAATTATAAAGTCGAAAACGCGAGCGCGTATCTTCTGCTCAAGTCAAGATATCGAAATTTGGTAAAAAATGATCAAAAGGTAATTACATTGTCTCGCGTGTGCGTAAATTTCAGATTTTTAAGTTGCAAAATAAAAAAGTTATTAACAAAAAACCAAAAAAGAATAAACGGTAACTGGGGTCGTTATCTCAGCGGTTTTTTAATATACAGATTTCAAGCCAATCAAATAGTGCTTAAAAAACATGAATTTAAAGAAAACATCTCGATCCGACCAATAGGAGCCGAGATAATTGTTTTTCTTAAAAATGGTATTCTGGCTGTTCTATTTAATATTTTGTAATAAACTTGGGCTCGTAAAGTAGAAGACTGCCTTTATACGCTGAATTTTTTTTTAATGGATTCGCCCAAGAAATGACCAAGTAAACGTGCATTAAAGACAGAATAACCCACGTGGTGGACTATGCGGCTGAGTTGTAGCCAGGAGAGTGGAGCGCTGTGACGTCATAGTGCCCATGCTGTTCTCGCTTCTCAAAATTCTTACTTAACAAATAGTTTGTGGTTCTTAGAAGGCAGCTACCAGGATGTTCTTTTTGAATCAACATTTTTTTCTGCTCTTTAGAATAGTGCAAGCAAAAGTCTGAAAGTCGTCTCCAGATCCCAAAAAATACATTTTTATTCACTTTTCACGTTTTCTTTTGTAATTTCATTGTGCTTTCGATATTTTGAAAAGTAAGAAGGTCTTTTTACGTATTTAAAAACAAAAGTAAATTATTTCTTTGAAAAAAAATGATCAGTATTCTATTTACTGTGCTCATAGACCAGGCAATAAAGAGAAAAATATCTAGATTTTCGCGGCCCGGTCCGATTTTAATGCGGTTTTTTGCATTTTGTTCAGGAAAAAAGTCCCGCCTTTTTTATTATCCGGAAATGGCGGAAATGCATCGCGGGTGCATAAAGTGCATCTAGAAGTGCGTCGCCTCCGAGAAACTTGCCAAAGTGCACGAAATACCGCAAAAATTGGTACTCGGGGGTTTTGGGGGGCGCAGAATTCGAATATGCATATATCAAGTCCACCCGACCCCCCGGGGGGCGACTTCCGGCCGCCTGGGGGTGCGTGGGGCACGTGGATTGCAAGGTTCTCCGAATGACTGGAAAAATGGATCTCGGAGGTTTTCGCGAGTGCTGATTCCGAATTCGAGGGTGAAAAATATCCCCTGTGCTCGTGGAGGTGGAGGGGGGGCGAGTATGAAATCTAAAGTTCTCGAAGTGACTGGGAAAATGTATCTCGGGGGGTTTTCGCGGGTGCTGATTCCGAATCTGAGGGTGAAAAATATCCCCTGTGCTCGTGGAGGGGGCGGTGGGGGGTAGGAGGAGGGTTATAATATTCATGGAATAAAGAGTATTTTGGGGATAGAAAATTATAACGTGTGATGTTAGTAGTGATATATTAGGACAATCAGGCCCCGGGGGGAAAATGAGAATCAGGTATACGGATGCGCGCAGCTGTCTGCCGGTACCTATACATAACAGTGGAATTTTTGGGGAGGAGTCCCAGAAAAGAGGAAGAGACAGATGAAGCGAGGACGTGCGCATACATGTATATTGTATACGCAGTGAGTGAAATCAGAAATAGTCATCGGACGCATTTGGTAGGGTCAGATTCGGAATCAGCACCCGCGAAAACCCCCGAGATACATTTTCCCAGTCATTTCGAGAACTTTAGATTTCAGACCCCCCCCTCCACCTCCACCTCCACGAGCACAGGGGATATTTTTCACCCTCGAATTCGGAATTAGCACCCGCGAAAACCCCCCGGAATCCATTTTTCCAGTCATTCGGAGAACCTTGCAATCCACGTGCCCTCCGCGCCCCCCGGGGGGTCGGGTGGACTGGATATATGCATATTCGAATTCTGCGCCCCCCAAAACCCCCGAGTACCAATTTTTGCGGTATTTCGTGCACTTTGGCAAGTTTCTCGGATGCGATGCACTTTATGCACCCGCGATGCATTTCCGCCACTTCCGGATAATAAAAAAGGCGGGACTTTTTTCCGACGGTCTTTCTGAACAAAATGCAAAGAACCGCATTAAAATCGGACCGGGCCGCGAAAATCTAGATATTTTGGGGTAAATCGTTCTTTATTGCCTGGTCTATCAGAACAAGTCGACGTATAAACATTGTCTTAAAATTGACTGTTACAGTTATTGCGTTATGATTAAGCAAATCAGAAATGTTTGTGTCGAAAATCTAGCAGACACACTTCTCATTGTGTACAGTCATTTGAAATGTGTGAAGTGCGTTGAAGTTGAAGGCCATTATTTTGATGATTTTAATTGAAAGATGAGGCAAGAGGACTCACGTAAATCAATCACTGTGATAAGGGGGAGGTGAAGGGACTCGTCTAAATCAAGCACCCTTGTACATGAGAGGCAAAAGGACTCGCGTTAACCAAGCACTCCGAAGGGAACAGAAAACTACTACGTCCATCTCGTTTCTGAGTTACGTTTACAAGTAGTTTATTCACCAGTCATTTACAATTCTACAGGTAAGAGTTTCTAGGTTATTCGAAATTTGCAAAATTAGTAAAAAAATTTGGTGACGAATTTCGAGTATTTACATAAAATTTGATATTTCTTTATTGCAAACATATTGCAGAATTGTGTGAGTAGGAGAAATTGAAAAAAATTGAATTTTGATTAAAGCGCCATCTATCATGTTATCATCAAATTTAAAAAATGTTTCAGACGAATCCTATGTACTTTTAGCTGTAGAATTGGAATCTGCCATAAAAAAATAGATGTTCCTATTTCAGATTTCAAAGTTACCCCTTGCCCTACCTACAAGAAGTGGGGCTAATTTTAGCACTAATGTAGGTATTTCCTCTGCAGAATAAATAATTAAATTTTGATTATGGCATTTATAGCCATCTTTTTCGTAGTTATTTTTACAGATTTTTTAAAGTTTCAGGTTAGAAAAATCACCCGTTATATTCACTATTTATTTATTTTATTTATTTATACTGTAACCTGAGGGGTTATTTCTTTATTTATCTATCTCTCATTATTGGATTTCAAAAGAGTTTACCATTTACTTCTCGAAAGGGAGTTTATAATTATCATCTACACGTTAATTAATATGTGGGAACTTAGAAATGTTGTACGTTCAGACAATGAATTTCAGACACTTACCGTACGTCGCTTACGTAGAGACATGTAGATGGACACTTAATTTAGAAGAGCAAGAAAACACAACTTTGAGGAAGGTTTTTAGTAACAATAAATACAAAACAAACAAAATAATGAGGACACAATGGATTCGAACAAACATTATTAATTAATTTACCGCGATAACGCAATCCGAGATTTAGGGAGCCCAACGCGAATTCGTTTTGGTTCTTATCTTATTGGCGGGATCCCTGAATATCGGGGATTGAAATGGCTTAACTATACCATGTTAATACCTAATTGACTGTATTTACAGTTGTATGGTTAATTTTGTGACTAAACTGAACTTGCAAGTAACCCTACACCTTCCTCTTGTGACTCCGTATAGCAAAACGGGACGGATTAGTCAGTTTCATTTAATCTATTCTTATAGCTTGGAAAATCCGCCTAAGAATCAACTATTTGATATATTATTATTTTCCTCACAACATTCTAACAACTTATTTAAATATCTTGGAATTCCTATGTCTTTTCAAATGTATTTCGCACGTTATTAGAAATATCAATTTTTCCTTTCACTGTGGACTAAACCGACGTAGGTTAGTCGATACCAGATGCCTAAAGCATGGCCCTGACTGAGTCTACTTGTTCGAAATCATTGCTAAATTTCATGAGGCCATCCCCGAAGGACTGTGATGGCCGAGGCCGACAAGGGGCACCAGTTTCTCAAAGACTTTATGGCGACGAAATCTACTTGAAAACCGTTAACTTTTCCAATAATAATTATTATCGACTGAAGTATTTTACTGTCCGTTCCGTGAACTAACAAACTATCATGAGTTCCGGCTTTTGTTACAATACATTTTTGCACGATCAAGCTTTTTTGGTTCACTTACTATGTTTGTTTCTACGACAGTAGGATGCGCTTACTGGTTGCTAAGGCTAACAAAACGGTAAGTGAATAACTGTCAAAATAGACATTTTCAACATCGCATTGATTTGGAATGAGTTTTCTAGAATTTTATCTAGTTTTAAATGTGGATAATTGATATAAAAGAAAGATGTATTTTAAATCTATTTATTAATGTTGAAATTAAATGTACAGTTTGTACAATTGCTTACAGAAATTGGAGCAGTACATGTTTTTTCAATTTCTATTCTATTCTATTCTAGAACTGTCAATTTCGTCAATTAAGAAAGCCGAAAGTTAAGAGTTATACCGTTCTCAGACAAAATTAGAGGCTTCGCTTCGCTCAGCCTCCAAACATTGTCTTCGAACGGTAAATTACCCTTACCGTTCTTAATGCTTAATATACTATTATTTACAAAAGGAGTAAACATACTCACATGGAAATAGTTACTGTGTTTACAATATGGCACAGAAAATATAAAATTAACCCTTTGTCTTTCCTCTGCAACCCTCCAACTCTACAG